ATACTATGGCTTCGCCCGCAGAGTCGTCTGATTCTTCACTCCAGGATGGGATGTCCAGATACATCTATACTCTTACGTATCATGTCATGATCTTTTGGTTTCTTTCATTGAAATTGCAGGATCGAGCCAAGCACGTGAACTGGATAACTAGCAGACTCATATACCGGGATGAACACGGTAGAGAGACGGTTGAGGAGCCAAGCCAGGTCTTCATCGACTTGATGCAGAGAGCAGCTTTCTCGGACTTGGGAGACACTATACCATACCCAAACTTTCCCCCGACTCCGGAAGATGGGCCTGTAGTGAAGAAGTCATGGATTGTAGGTATGAGCATTGTGACTGTTGAGACGGCTGGAGTATCTGGCTTGACTCAGGTCACCAAAAGGCAAGCGTCAGGAACTACCTACGCAATGTTTCAGCAACGAACTGCGCCCGTCCTTCCTCACCAGGTTCCGCCCACGCCAGATGCCCACTTGCATTCTGACACCATGCGCACTGCTGTCCTTCCAAGCCATATCATGCTTCAGCTGACAACCACGGCTTTCCCGACTCCTACGGTGATGCAGCCAATTCCTCTTCCCGAAGATGACATTACACGCCGGGCACTAAACACCTTCGACCGCAACGACATTGTGGATGGGCACAAGATTGGTGTTATATACATCGACAATGGCCAGACCACTGAAGCAGAGATCCTGTCGAATACCAGCGGCAGCCCAGACTACGAATACTTTCTGTCGCGACTCGGAACCAAGGTTCCGCTCCAGGGTGCTCGATTTAATACTCAAGGGTTGCATGCAGATTTCGATGGCCAATTCACCTATGCATGGCGTGACCGGGTTACGGAAATTGTCTACCATGTTCCGACAATGATGCCTACGAACTTTGATAATGATCCATCCTGCATCAGCAAGAAACGCCACATCGGGAATGATTTCGTCAATATCGTGTTCAACCGGTCGAATACACCTTTCAACTTCAACACGATACCCTCTCAGTTCAACTTTGTCAACATCGTTATTAACCCTGTGTGCCGTCTCACCACTGATCCTGGCAGTGCGGAGTCGAGACGCACTGATTTCGAGAACATGTTCTACCAGGTGAAGGTGATGAGCAAGCCCGGGTTTCCGGAAATATCACCTGCCGCGGTGCCAAAACTTATCTCCGGGAAGAACCTTGCCCCGTTCGTTCGCATTCTTGCTCTTAACGCGTCTGTCTTCTCGCTCGTCTGGCACAGCCAAGGAGGCGAGCACATTTCATCGTGGCGCAACAGGTTGCGTGAAATTAAGAGACTTCGTGAGCGAGCGCTAGGAAACCAGGCTCAAAGTTCCGAGGCTGCCGAAGGGACTTATCCTGGTCAGCGCCGCAACACCAAAGCCAACATATTCTCCGAAGAAGTGCCCTCGCGCAACACCTCGGTCCGGACCGATTTTGCTACCGATTGGAACGCAGCTGCAGACACGAATATCCTGCAGAACTTGGACTTTTCGCGCTGGGGTCGTTGAAAGCCACATGCTGTCTTGGTTTAGCTCGGCAAAGAAGAATGGAAGAACGAGGGCCAGAGAAGAAAAAGAAAAGAAAAGAAACAACAATAACTTTCCAGGATTTCATTGACTCACTCATGACCCTTTTGTTACGACGGATGACTGTACATCTTAACACCGATGCTTTGCAACTTGTGTAAATACCCCCTTTTGCCCTGCAGCACGCGAAGAAAAAAAGTTCACTGTTCTCAATGTCTTGTTTTTTCCCTCTTTCTTTTCCATTGCGATGTTTTACTGCCCTGGCCCACTCTGGCAAACCTTGAGGAATGAAATAAATAATCAGTTATTATGTCAACAGATGTATCGGATTATCATTCTCAACGTAGAATACTAACGTAGACATCTTCCAGAAACAACTGAAACAGCCGATCAATTCAAACCCCTTCCCATTCTTAGACCCTGGGAGACTTGGCAAGGAACCACACCTTATACTTCTAGTACTATCTGATAGAAGTGCGGCGCCGAATTATAAAGTTCATACTACTAGATAGATACTCAATAGATAGTAGATATTAGATAGATTGTAGTTCCCCACTTCCCGCACCCGCCTTATAGTAGTTGGTTTTAATATACTTCCAGCAGATAATATACCACGCGTTTCATATAATTACTTGGTACAATTATCAGCCGCGAACTAAATCGATCGATGCAATGGAATGACAGATTACAGTTTGCTGCGGTAGTGGCCTGAGTCATATTCTAATTCAGCGTGGGTAATAGATCAAACAGTGAAAGCTCTGTTAGTCGTAAGAGTGGGTCCGATAGGCTGAGTGAGGAAAAGATTTGTTTGGTTTCAATATGTGGGGAGTTCATTAATATTATCATGCACGGTGTTGATTCAACTATCTTGTATCAGCTGAGGTGTGCCCATATAGCAAGTGACTGTTCCATACGTATATTGACAGCGTGTAATTATGTTCATGGATAGTACTAAATGTCTGTCATGGGTCTGGCTAGCTAATACTACTAACATTAACTTTTACTGCTTGATACTGAGTATTACAAGGGCGTGGTCTGTTGTATAGAAAAGTAAGTGAAGTATCACTTGAATGAATTACTTTTTCGTATCACCTAGGAAAGAAAAGTTGCAAGACACGACGGAGATTAAGTGTGACAGCTGACCAGTTTTTTGGGATCGGACAAAAATCCCTAAACATCGGAGAAACAGGAACAGGATCTATCTAGAACCTACTTCCTCACAAAGGTTCTCAAGGCAGAAAGAAGATGAGGAGAAGTCACGTAGGCAGCAGGAATGATGAAGGGTCAGGTGGTGCCTGGCTACAGTCCAGGGTACCTATCCATAGTCACTTAGTCTTGAAGTTTCCCAAATGCTGCATCAAAAGCTGCAGCTGCAGGGGCCGGGGTTTAAGTTCAGGCTAATATGGTGATCCCTCTGAACTTCCTTCTAGAACCTACAGAGCACACTTGTGAGGCGCTGCCGGGTATCACACTCATACTACACGTGTAGCTTACGCCTCTTCTCATCCTAAGAAAAACTTCCGTACACACGACCTCTCCGAAAAGATACACTTGAAAGCGATTCCTCGCGCGAACTCCGGTGGGAGGCCTTTTTTTATCGCTGTCATACCTGTCCAGCACTCTTGATTGCGCTCTATGTGAGAGAAGTGGCGCCAGCTAAATGCGTTCTTGTCTCGGGGCCGGAGTGAAAGGAAGAGGAAGCGCTTTCTGGATGACTGCAGGCCGTCGATCACGATTGACAGATGCAGACTATCTTGGCTTATCAATCAGAAGGGCCCAACAGATACGTAACGCTAGTCAAGGAGAGAGCGAGAGAGTTGCTGTCCATAGTCCGTAATGGCCCCAGAATTGTCGGTGTCGATTGGAGGGAGTTGGGCTTGGCCCTGAATAGGTCTCAGCTTAACCACGCGGTCTCTTGCATAAAGCCCACTCGACTGATCAATCATCCCGACATTAGTCGGTCTTAGGAAAGAACACACTTCACACAAAGCGTGGGACAATGGTACTTGGTGTAGACGCCAGGGGAAGTTTTGTGGATTCTGAGCGAGAGATCGGATGATTGTGTGTCCAGAGGCTAGATCTGCGGGTATTTTTTTTTTCAAAAGTACTAACGTTCCTCACAGTCGCTTTGCCGGTTCCATATTTCCGGAATTATCTCTTGGGTGAGACCTAAGAGATGTCCCAAGTCGGTTTGCCGTCACCCGCCAATCTCAGATATTTGTGACACTCTCCGCTACTAAAGTTGGCGATTGTTCAGTAGTGGCTATTAACGGATAGCACCTGCAAATACGAACTGCTAACCTTATTTCAAAAGCCACAGAACTCCCCTCTGGTGCTTCCTTCAAGTGGCAGGACCGGCACTGAATCCTCTTTGCTTTGAGAGATAGACAGGGTGCCTTTGGGCAGTCACCCTTTTGACACTTGAATTCTCATACCTTGTTGACGTGCCGTGCTGAGTCCTCTATCAATAGAGGAAGAAAAGGGGGGCGAATGGCTGGACAATGTCTTGAAAGTACGAGGCGGAGGACCACGTGCTGCTCTCCGGCATGACTTGTCCAATTGGATGGCCATCCAATTGACTTGCCAACATCAACAGAACTACTGACACGCTGGAGGAAGTTCTTCGGCTATCCCTACAATGTCTATCTGCTTAGGCTGTCAGGGAAAACAATGACGCTGAGTTCTTGGCTAGGAGGATGAACGATTATATCAACTTCATCGGACATGTTTGTTTCTTTACTCCAAGCTCATTCCCTCGGAAGGCGGCTCTTTCTATCTCCATGTTTCCTATACATCGTCAAGAAGCATTATCACCGCCGGAGTTTTGACCTGGCAATGTTTGGAAACACACACTCTCTCTCCTCTCTCTCTGTCCCCGACGACGCCACAAAAAAAGTTTCGCTTATTCCCTGCGTTGGCAATGTGTTTTGGAGTTCTTTCTGTCTCAGGCTTGAACTTGTATGCGGGGCCACTAACTTTGGATTATTCTGTCTCACCAGGGTCCGATTGTATAGGGTCCATCATACATGATTACAATCTATCATTCCAGCCTGGCTACCCCGGTAATGGGATGGTTCCCCCAAGTGGTAATAAGTTTCAGCCTTAGAATCTTCCTTGAGCGAGAACAACATGAACGCGCCACAGCGCTCCTCATCAACCTCTCATTGGGAGTTTGATGATTGGCTTCTTGGATGGCTCTGAGGTTGGTGTTCAGCTTGCACTCTGTCTCCTCGTGATGGTCTCCAGTTGACGCAAATGCTACGAAGGCGACTATGCCACCATGTAATCCTTTTCACATGCTGTTAGGCTTTGAGAGAGAAGGCCTTTTTTGTGGATAAATTAACGAACAAACCCACCGATTTCTTCGATATCTAACCCTGTGTATCACACATCTCCGATCTCCTCTATACGCGCAGTCCACTTCTCTCCAGCTTCACCACTCTTCGCGATAAGGACAAACTCGTACGCCAGACCAGTATGGATCCCAACAGCGACATGCTGCGCTTGATCAAAGAGTTTGTCCAAATACTCCGAGATAGTCCGGAGATCCGAGCTATCACCGGGCATGGTGAGGCCCAATGTGTCATAGTTGGGGGCGCAGCAGTGCGCTGCTACGTCAAAAACCGCATTGTCGGGGTACGTTGAGTATTAATCCTGCCATGACTACAGTGTCCAAGCTCACCAATAGCTGTAGGATAACTTCGACATTGCAATCTTCCCCTCAGAGTTTGCACCGAAACTCAAGGAAAGATTGTCTACTCTTCAGTACTTTGGAATGCAGCGAGACCAGCTGGTCTGGCATACGGTATATGGCTACATTCGAATAGGCATCCGACCAACCGATGATGTGAGTCTCAGGATGAATATCCTCCCTTTTCCAATCCTAGGTTCTCTTGGGGCAAGTTACGTACTGACATGTGGTTGCGATCTTTTCATATAGTTCCTGAGGATTCCGAAAAATCTGCAACTGCTCAGCAATCTAGATCCCGATGATCTCCCCTTCCTGTCTCTGACCGAATTAATTCTATTCAAAGCCCAAGCTTGTGGGATGCGGTCCGAGAAGCAGAATAAAAGAGATGCCGCTTATGTTATCAAGCTTCTGAAGCTTTTCCCCGGCCGATCATACCGACGCCGGCTCTTGGATAGTCATTGGGCATATCTGCAGCTTGCGAAGCCCTCCCTCAAAGCAAGCATGCCAGAATATGACTGGGATACGGCCTTTTGAGGTTCAAGCGATCTCGACCATGCGGTTTCGGGCTTTGGCTTCTTTCATTTCCTTTTTCCGGTCTTCTTTCTTATTCTCTTTCTTTACGTTTCTGTTCTTTCCTTGACTCTTATTGATATTCTGAATTATCTACATCGTCATTGTAATGTATCCCTAGACTGCTCCTCACGTCTCCTAGTAGTATATATTACACGGAGCTACTTTTTCTGAAGGGCTCATTAGTAAAAGAAGAACGCTTTTGGTATTGAACATACTACAGGTCCGTGAGACTTTCGTGTCGAATGGAATTATGACTAGCTTCTATAGCGCTAAGCAGTGACATATATAGTTGTAACTGATGAGCATGATGATGTAAAGGAGAGAAAAACCGAGAGGTACCCGATATAAATGGTAAAGCCCGTCTGTCAATATCACCGACCGAACGAACATGTGAGTCGAGGTGATCATGAGTCGAGTAGATCCAGGGGCAGACCGAACTCCTTTACAAGATCCGGGATAGGCCTCATCCAGCTATCTCTTTCCATTGTCTCAGGTGGTTGAAGTTGACCTTTCTTCTTCAAATCCAGATAGAGGAAGAGCTTGTATTTATGGCCATTGTAGTCATCCATGCGATCACCATAGCTGCGGTCAAGGTTTCGTCTGCCGTATTCACGCCATGGCTTATCAAGGTCATTTAGTTGCAATATATCAATGAATCGATCCCCCAAAATCTCCATCATGTCGGATTCCTCCTCTTTCCAAAAGTCACTCCCATGCTGCCCTTCGTAGTGACGGATTGACTGCAGGCAGACGGCTTCCAGATATCGGGCAGGAGTAGGAATAATAACGGGGTATTCGTCCTCGGACATGCGTTGTACACAAGGATAGCTCCAGTCCGGGAGTCGCTTGTCCGAACTGAGCATATAGTATCGGTCATCAGGCTTGGGGTCGTCAAGGGGCGGATCGGGGTAAAGTGGGAAAAATCGGGACTTCCGGTACAGATAGACGCCGTTAGTGACGTGGGTCTGACGATAGTTGAGATCTGTGTGGTAATGATGGTCGGGAAATGGAAGGCTCGTATACTCAGGGTCGTTGACTGCGCAACGACGGCCATTTTTACAGGGTGGTAATCCAGCCTCGTTGAGCACTTGCACAGCCTTCTCCATAGCCTCATCTTTGACTGCCCAGATGCTGTACTGCGCAGATTATTAGCGGCTGACAATGATAATAAAATGTGAAGGGGTAGGGAATGTTCTAAGGACTTACTCGAAGATCGGCCTCGCTTCCGTATATCCGCGTTACCTCAGGCCCCCATGGGAAGGCAGGTACCTTGGCCTCCCTCAGCAGCCATGCCAGGTAGCGTCTCAAGTCGCGAGACGGCCTTTTAGGAGTGTGGGCATGCTTAAGAAACCAGGAAGGTAAAATTGGAGCTGGAGCTGGAGCAGAAGCTGGATCTTCAACTGAATCCAACATTAAATTCTGGGTTGGGTCCGGAGCCGTGTCCGATGCGGCGTCTGAAGTAAGAGAAGAGACAGAAACGAACATCGTAGCTGGGGCTGGAGCAGGAGCGAGAGCAGGAGTAGCCATGGTGCACGGGAGTCTGAGATGAAATCGAGATAAGACGAGATAAGACGAGATGTGATGAGATGAGATGAGATGAGTTGAGCGGTTTCCTCACTCAGACCATGGATGTAATGGGCATCTTTATAAGTTGAGGTTGAAGCATCAGTTCTGTCTGTTAGTCATGAAGGATATTTTTCTCGGTCTCATCCATCTAATCGCTGAGTATAGCTGATCAAGACTCTTGAAGAAAATACCTTTTTCGAAGCAACAAGCCGGACACAGCCGTTGAGGCACTTATCTCCACATTGCATTGTGTACAGTGTCTTTCTTGTCGTACCTCGTGTATCTCCTAAGTCCGAATTTCACTGAAACACTTTCCTCTCTATTCTTTCAGTCAAAGCATTGTGTCTCGAACTCCAATCAGCTTTCAGTAAACTCCCCATAATCAAATTTGCTGTATGGTGGTCGAACTCGTATAGTCTAGGCAACCGGCGCTGCGAGTGTCTCTGAGTTTCCCATATCAGTATGCCAATGTCCCAAAAGTTTTCTTTCAATCACAATTGTGTCTCAGACTCGTCCTATCTTCTAGCAGACTCTCCAACCCCTATCTTGCTGTGCGATGGTCGAACCCGAGGTAACTGAAATCATAGAGTCATCAGTATCTTGTGACTTTCACCACACCAAGGATAGTACCCTTCTACCCATTTCATCGTCAAGCCATCTTCCTGACAACTCCCGCTATCCAGGATAGCATAACACATTACCATCATTGAAAGCAAATCATGCGGTGGCATTTGAACCTACAAGAACAAGAGACAAAGGAAGAACAAGCACGCACTTCCATTGGGCGATACACCATTCTGGTAGACTCCGCCGGTCTGTACTTTACCCAGAAGGTACATTCCATGTGATAGACATTGTCTGCGCTCTCCTCTGCTCGATTATAGTGAGTGTTGGAGGCTTCGAAATGCGAATGAGGTCGAATCTGCGATATTCGGTAAGCTCCTTACCTTAGTTAGCTGGCATTAGTCAGTAATATTCCCATGAATAATTAATGGTTTCTTGACTATGATCAGCTTGGATCAAGTCAAGTAGTCTACAGTATGAGTTGTGGGTCCCACTACCATTAGAATCATTGAACCATCTTAGATAAGCTGTGATGCCAAACATAGAATCCACGTGCTAACCCAATCCAGTAAGTACCTCATAGGTAACAAACAACATCCATTCCACAATATCCATCCGACGCAATCACTTTGTACAACCTGCAAGTCATAAAATTATCCAGCTGTATAATCACTGACTCGGGTCCAACCTGATTATATCGTCTTCCGAGAAATCCACTACATTATTACCTTTATGAAAATCGTCTTTCGTTATCCGCTGAAGGAACAGGACAAGCTTAGTATCAATTCACTCAGTACATTCGATGACCTATCTCCACTTGACAAAAGGAATAAGCCGATCTAGTACCTCATATAAAGTGACTTTCTGCTCCAATTCCAGTCCTAATACCAGTCCCACAGCTAGCTAACCCTGTTTATTTGGTGGAATGTTTCAAAAGACCCTTTCAGTCTTAGTTTGCCACTCTTAAGGGCAAGTAGTGTCGGCGGGAAGACAAAGGGGATTTTCTCCTTGTTTTTCCAAGACCCATTAATGAGGTTTATGGCTTTTAAGCCATTTTGCCTTGAGTGAAGATGCTAAGTTGCCTTCATCGTGTATCTTGTAAGCACGGCTGAAACCATATATCACATTGATGTCAAAGATTATGTCATGTGGACGGGTATACACCGGTCCAATAATTGGAATTTCGTCAAGGCGCTGATCAAGAGTTCATGTATTTATCAAATAAACGCATTCATTGGGGCTTACACCTCGCGAGGCGGCCATCCAATGCAAAGGCAGACTAGGTACATACATTATCCAGCTGTAAGACACCCCTGAACGCAAACCCGAGACTTGTAGAGGGCGAGCGTGGGAGAAGAGAAGGGTAAGATAGAAGCAAGTAAGAATGCAAAGGAGAATGAAAACTTCAACCAAACCAATGCGTAACGTCTCTTCAACCCTAGTGACGTGGCAGGGTGAAGAGAACCAAAGTGGCCAAGCACAAGAAATGAACGCCTTATCAAGGAGAATAAAGCACAAAATATCAAGGAAAACCAGCAAGCCTTGCTGTACAGAGGTCGGGCCAGTATGCGCTGATCGGTCAGTTGATAACTTGACGCGCTTGAGGTTAGTCGATACTGAAACCCAGGGTCAAACGGCGAGCGTGGTGGCTAAACAGGACGGAGTATTTGCGTATGTGCAAGTCGCGAAGGTAATATGAAGCAGAGCGGTCTAAATACGGAGATGGAAACGAGGCAAATCTTCGCCGGGATATCGTCATGCTTTTCGAATCTCGTCCAGGTGCGACAAAAAGGCGACATCGGTCATTCGAAGGGGTATCAGTCGATGGGAACAATGAGCCGATGACCGCGGTCGTTGAGCAGGTCGATTCTTTTAAGACCATCTATTGGTGGATTCCTTTTCTTTGAGTCCACCCATGCGCTCGATATCCAACGACTGGAATCGCTCCGCATCGCTGGACTGATACGGCGGAAGTTCCTCATTGCAAGGCTCCAAGCCCACTCCACCTGCGTCGGTAATTCTCACAACCACAACTCGGCCCGACTTGCGCTTTCCGGATTCGTCCTCCTCCTCTGGAAACGTAATGCGAATTTCGGGAACCGGGCTGGGCGGGGGACTCGACGAGTTCTCGATAAGACTGCGCTTTTCATCATAAACCAGAACGGACTCTGTCTTGGCGTTCGGCGAAGCAGAGACGGTGAAACGACGGTGGTTTGGCACGCATTGCCCGTTGTGTACAGGAAGTTCGGATTGTTCGCGATTCAGGCGCTTGCGGCGCAAGACAAGAAGTGCACCGACCAGGGCGAGACCGAGCAAAATGAGAACCAGCAGGGAGATCAAGAGATCGACCATGGTGGGGGAGAGTCCATCGTTGCTTCCAGAGTCGCCGCGCCGAACAAGCTTAGAAATAGGATTGAACATGATTTTGATAGTTGGATTTTTTTTTTTTTTTTATGTTCGATAGGTCTTCGGATGCAATCCGAAGCAGCAAAGTATTTGGAAAGTAACGGCGTGCTTTTCGATACACGCGAAGTTATTTCAAGAATTGAAGGTGTACTGTTTCCTCCGGTATCCGTGTCAATTCTGGATATGGCAGTGTACAGCAAGCCTGTCGTCGACAGTCACTTACAATATGTCTCAACAAGGGTCTCGCGGCGATAGAATCAGATAGTAAGATCTGCTTTCTTTATTTTTTTTTTTCGTTTCGAAGGACCGGTTGGAGACGGGATCGTTGGACAAAAGGAGAGAATGTATCAGGGTCGGTAGGATCAGGTAGTCAAGGCGAGTGGGGGGAGGTTGGCTTCAACTGGGGTGATGAAAATCGACCAGGTTGGTTATAGCGAACGAACGGACAGCAAGGTGAGCAGCTGAAAGAGTGAAGCCGACACCTGCTTAGGGAGAAGAGAACGTGACGGGGGTGGAAGGAGGAAGAATGAGGGGAGGGGTTGGTATGGGGGTTTGTCGCCTGGGAGAATGGAAGAAAGGGAACAAAGGGAAAAGAAAGGGCAGAAAAGAGAGCGCAGGAAGGGTGAGAAAGAGGAGACGACGGAGGGAGGAGGAGGCGAGAGGAGTGCAGGGCAGAGCAGAGCAGGACAGGGCAGGGGAGAGGCAGGCCGGTGGGCGCCGGCACGACAGGAACGAGGCGCAAGGGCGCTTAGGCGCAGTCCAGACCGAGTGCAGGCAGGGGTGGGTGGACAGTTGGCCTGGGGCAGAGCACTAATAGTTCTGCTGTTTACTCGTCCTCGACCAAAAGGGGACTAAGCTCGTCTTGCTTCCTCCACTCAAGCGTGGTCAAAGACTCCGCTTTTCGCCTAGTCGGCCTTGGCATGGTCGCTGGCGTGGTTGCTAAGGTTCGCCGGTAATTTCCCCATTCCGGCCATCGGGCCTATCACGCGTCGACGGTGCCTGACTTGGCCCATTCTTTGGTCAACTAAACCCTTCATCATTCGCTGCCCACCCCTATGCAAAAAAAAGACTAAACTTGCCAGGTTACCTACGCTAGCTAAATCGGTTTTTCTTCTTGCTTGCTTGTCAGCGCTTCCCCTCTTTTGTCTTCCTTTTTTTAGGTCACCTTTGCGCTCCCCCCTGAAAGCGAAAACGAACAAGGTCTCAGTGCCCCAAGGACCACAAGGCTAGCTAGCTAGCTGGCAGTAGCATTTACAGTAGGGAGGGGTAAGACAATCTATCGACTATCTAAACTATCTACTTTGTCTCCGGAACGGAGGACCCTTTTTCGGCTTATTGAGAAGCCATCGTGGCGTCGCTTCTATTTTAACTTCTTCATATCTCCGTCGACGGAATGGAGGAATGACGTTTTGGTTCGCCAAGCAACATCTTGCCAACCTGTTTGTTGGTAAGTTCGGAAAGTGATTTTGACGGTGGAGAAAACAGCCGGTGGCCCGGAAAAACATCCAAACAAAGCAAAGCTCTGCTGGCACCAGCAAAAGACAACAACGTAATGGAGTAGTACTCAGCAGTCAGCCGTTGGTCTCACCACATGTGGTGAGGATGATCATGCATCTGCTGATTCTACTGTAAGATCTTACGGGCGACCTGAGGTGTGTCTCTTTCACATGACATCAGAAACAACCTGTCATGTGCTAGTCAACTAATGCAGGGTCCATCTGTCAGTGATGGTGAAACACAACGGACGGTTAGGCACCTCCGTATTCCATACTCTGACAGCCGCCTATCCATATTCTGGATAGCCGGTACAGGTCTATCTTGCTATGGAAACTATCAGTATCAGTATGTTGAGACATATCGTACTAGAGTATGTGGCGGAGGAAGAACTTGAAATAGACTACCATAACCCCCTTGGCTTGTCGTATCTGAGGTAACCACCCGCCCCATCCCAGTTAAAATATATTCACAGCGGGAAGGACTACCGTATTTGGTCAAGATGAGTCCTCAACTGCTGACAGCCATGGAATTCCACTATATGAACTTCATATGTATATACTAGTTGTAAAGTTTACACAGGTCAGGAAGTCATTGCACGTACCGTGCCTCTAGTGTCACAACTACTTACCAATAAACATGACTCCAAATTATAAATTCCCGAAAAGAAGGCTAACCACAACATCATCTCTCCATACGCACTCCCAAGCCATCCCCTAAAGTCCCCCAAGACTATCAATCAAGCCCGTCACCCAGCATCGGAAAATAAAACAAACCCCACAACAACGACCACCTACCTGTAACTAGAACTGAAACAACATACATAATATGTCTAAGATCACTCAATCAGCCATGCCGTTACTAAATATAAAACAAGCACTCCTTGGCCGAACCCTACACTCGCCACATTCCTGAAAGCGTCCTCCCGCCCCACCCACTTCTCTCTCTCTCTCCTGCAGAATACCAAGGTCACGTCACAGTCGCAGCATCAGGTATCTGGTATCTCTGGTGACCTTGGTATGTCGATCGTACATTTGGGTAGGTCTAGATGATATAGCAAGGGGATACGTCCATGTTGTGGTCTTTGCGTGCCGGTTGCTGTGACTATTGTAGAGAGATAGATTTTGGAATGGGTCTATCTTTAGGCTGGTTGGTTCCATATGATCTTGTGGAATGGTTCTACGGACATGTGGGATTTGACAGGGACAGGTATTTTATCTGTCAGATTGTTGCTGTGCGGGTGTCAGGGAGGTTATGTGGGCTTATTGCTTCATTCTTTAGTAAAATTGGCTTCCATCAGCTGTCGAGGGGATACAATTTGATCCTGGGGAACAGATGAGGTCTAGATACTATATACTAGTATGGGATATTTGCCAAGCTCCTGCTCAGGAAGGTGGCATATCACGATAGTAGTATGAATTAATCTTCGGACTACTTCTGCATATATACTTACTTGTATGTTTAATTTCTACAAGACATACAATACTACCTCGTGCCAAAATAATTGGGGTTCTTGAAGTACCCCTATCGTTGGTCTATTCCGGTGTTTAATTGAGACCTATAAACACTTAGTAGCCCTGCTTAACGCTGGTCCTCGACAAGTTATGCAGATGAATGAAGCTGCGCATTCTTTATCATTTAGCTTATGTCTTTTCTTGCTGGTATATTTCACCGGATCCTTCATCACTCTACAACACAACAGATACTCCGACGACATGGTATTGTTGACCTTTTAACAATATCTTGAATGGATGTAAACCACCGCCAAAACAGCATCAGTACTGGGGAGTAGTAGCAGACCGCTGCGGTGAGATATATATTGACGATCTTGGTACTAGTAAAAAACTCGAATATATTTCTGGTATGACTAGCCCTTTCTTCAAATTTGCATGCATTTTCAAGTAGACAATATCTCCAAGTTTACGAGCACTAGGTTTACATGCTGAGATCGAGTACCAAGATGATTTAAGGTGCAAGCACCGGTTTATCCTGGGGCTGCAGTAGCTCAGCTACTGAATTGGGGTACTGAATATATAGATCTACTCTGTGATCATTTCCATCCAGCGTTCTAAGAACCTTCTGTCCCATTGCAGTCGAGACACACTACTATTTGGAAGAATATAAGAAAAATATATACCCTCAACTGGAGAACACCATATCAATCTATTCTCTTATAAAAAAATATAATTGTATGTGAAGAGTCCCCCGTTTTGAGTATAGCTGGAGTATTGTTGTATATACTAACGACTTCAGTTCCCTTGTCGTAGAGCAGAAGTTGATCGTGTCTTGTCAGAACAACATCCTGTAGGTCATGAAACGGCCTGATACTGATCCAAACACTGTTACATACTTGATCACATACTGTGAACTAACGAGTGAAGTACCACATCAAGGCTCCTGCACATTGGTCCACATGTTGTCCCTCGTATGCCAGAAGCTTGAGGAAAATCGTGTCTATAAGGTATTGTCACAAATGTTTGGCATAATCATATATCGTCCAGATGAGCGTATTGAACCAGAAAGTGGCAATCAATCCTCTCACAACGATTTTAGCCTTTGATGAACGATACTACATTATACTATCATGATAGAGAAGTCTGGTTGATATACCTCCTAAGTACCCGCTGTTAAATGCTGGTTATGTCAACTGGCTTAAAGTGAGCATCGTTGCCATTGCGCATAAAGAGTCCATCCATGTAATACTGTTTACTAGACCAGAGGCCAGACACTGGTATCTTATATGCAGAAACGATGCAGAAATCGCGTAGTCTGAGGAACAGGCTGACTTGTTTTATCAAGTCTCTTTGTTGGGAGGCGGCTACTCTAAGACTCTTTGAAGACTCGTTAGCACGATCAGAGCCTGTTGAATAGATATCTGATGAATGAAGGATTGTGTTAAGATTCTGCTCTTAATGTTTAAAGGAACCCCCCCGGGTTTCTCGCTTGGAGTACTCCTTGAATTCATTGTATACCATGGCTCAGCTGGCCTATATAACCCGAGCAACGTATCTCGGGATGCATACCCCAATATATTGTCGCTAGGTGTGCATTGCCGATATTAGTATCTGTGTATAGAGGTACTAATGGAAAAGCCGGCTGCGATTGCAGCATAGGTAATGTTATCCATCGGCTCTCAAATGACTAAAGTCGAAGGGAGTCTCTATAAGGATGATGAACGGAGTCAGCTTCGGTTGTACTTGCTAGATTGATTAGTAAATAGATACGGCATTCTGCTCGTGGGGAAAGAGATGTTGCTTAAACTTATATAAAGGTTTCCTGTTGTCAAACCAAGGGCACTAATATAGTACGTAAAAACTGGATGTCAAGTCGAAGCTGGATGATTGACAAAATTCGAGGCATGGAACATGAGGGGACTTAATATGCCTAGTCTTTTCTAGACTTCGCTGCTCTGCCAGGATTACTTTGCAATCGGAGTTCCTCAGATAATAATCATTCTCTGACAAAAGTCAAGTGGCAGTGCGTGCTATAATCCAAGCCCCTGTCAAGAGGCGGCCGCCACGCATGTTAGTTTTCCAGACCTGGCGGCAAGTCAGTGGTGTCTAGCGTTAGCAACGCCCGCCACTCCATAGTAGCCCCTCTCATAGCTCACTCCTAGCAGTTGATTCATGCAGAGGCGTGTGTCAGACCAGCCATCGGATTCATATCGGCTAGTTATCGCATTCTGGTCGGAAAATGTTTGTTAGAGTTATCTTGGCCAAACCAGTAGAATGGCTGTACGAATGTAGAACCGTTAGCATATGTGGCAGGGAATGCCTCGAGAAACCAACAACTCGACTTAAACTGGTGCAAAAGTGCTAAAATATCTGGGGTGTCCCTCTTGCGGCCTTAACTACACGGCATCCACAAGGCGGGTGAACTCCCTCGAGGACATGCAAGGGCATACGATAGTCTGATGTACAGACAGGAACGACCGAGACATGTCTCAGCCTGACGTGGGGTATGTAAGAACCAAAGCGGATGTTAGTATTTGACAGCAAGGCATAGTGACGTGGTACCAGCAACACGTTGAGGCTGTGGGATATGCTTGTGCTGGTTGATGGGGAAGGTTTTCATGGTTGACCAGCCGCGCCATGAACCTTCCTTTCCCCAGCGGGATAGAAACGTGTCGAGCGGAGAATAGTGGATGTGACTCATAGCAATCAGTATGACAGCATCGATAGGATTTATTATTCCGCTCGACAGGTTTTTTTTCCGTCCACGGGATATCCCGGGTTAACATGGATGGCGAAAGGGCGGCACGTGTGACATTTTATACGTGTGGCATGATGATGCTTATTATCTGGTGCAGTCGTTAGAACAGACCACCTGGTGTGAGTGTCTCCAAGGCTGTATCCGTGGACACTCTGGGGCCTTAGATGCACTAGCCTCTGGAGTATCCAGAAGCAGGAGAGACACGAGTACCCTCAGTGTACTGATAATGCTATTATCATGGGACATATATCACGAATACGTCGTGCTTGCCATGACATGCGCGTCGGAGTTCGGTCCCACAGGAATTCCCAGTCATGGCATGGATCTGCAACCCTTGTATGGGGTCGTGGATTGCTGGGTCAGAAGGGAGGAGACCAGGAATGGTTGGAAATAATCCCCGCCCGACTCCCCACGAAATGAGACTTACGTTGTTTGGTGCTGTATTGCTTTTCCTGCTCGATTCATTCACTTAGAAAGAAAGGGGATTACTGTCCTGGAAACAAAGAACTAGCGGGGCCGGACTAGTTGATGTGCATGCAAGGCAAAAGAGTTGTATGTGGATGGCCGCTTGCAACGGTCCGCTTTGCCTCTTTGTCGTTCATATTATGGTCAACCGCGTATGTCTCGCAGTCAGTCGCAGCGTTCATCAATGATAAGGCCATTTTCTCAGAGTAGACTCGAGCTACACCACATACATACATGCATGCCGTGAGAATACCCCAATTGGCAATCCGTGATAAAGCAAAAATGGACGGCAAGGTGAGCGACAGAATAACAACCCCTGTCTTCCGCGGCCATTGAAAAGGCAGGGCGGATAAAACCTAATTCGTTGTGATTGTGTCCTACTGAGATGCAAGGGATACTCCAGAAGGCCCGCCGAGCTAAATCATTAGCCATGCGTGCTTCGACCACCTGAAGTCGGCATAGAGGGAGAAGCCGAGGAGTGTACTAAGTAATGGGACTTTCAAATACCTAGGCGGGAACATAGTCGATATTGGGATGTTCGGAGTGTTGCTGTGCCTACTGGGATGGAAGTAGTTGGCAAGATCGAACCCAAGGCCACTAAGGCATGCATCCGGGAAGGGATAGCACATCAGATGCAATATCCAGTAAGATGCAAGTTAGTAGCAATTGCGCGATACTGATAATGGTAGAGGTAGTTATCTGTTGGTATTAGGGCGTATGGTCGCTGCAGGGCTAATGTTGTCATGGTCATGCAAACGAGTTGATTGGAAGTCTGGGGGGCTTGCATGTATAATGAACATATTATGGTATTAGTAGTATGGGAACCTAGGATGATGATAAGCACTAGTACTACAGTTGCAGTGGACAGTGGCTCATAGTAGTAAGACTCCTATTTCAACTACGCCTAGTGATGATCGCATTTATCATACAGTTTACCATCCCGCCCCTACATAGGGATAAATTAATGAATGATAGCGTAGGTAATTAATCAAAAGACCTCACCAAACCAATGTTACTGTTGGCGAGAATAAACTCTGATTCATCACCAGAAAACAAGCTAGTTTAGTGGATCCGATCGGTCGGGCTGGAGCGCAACTTAACCTTTACCGCAAATCTTCAATGGGAGCCGTGGCCCGTGATTATCCAAGGGACGGTCAAATGAGAATTCGGAACCTCTTGAATTCTCCCCAGATATGCTACCCCGCTTCGATAATCGTCAGCATCAGAAGAGTCTTGGAAGCCAGTGGTGGTCAGTGGCCAACAGATGAGCCAAGCCATGTGACGGAGAGTTGGCCAGGAAGTCATGTCCGATGAGGCTGAGGTGGGAGCAAATACTTACTACTAGTAGTAAGTAAGTAATAGACAGACAATGACAGCTTCTCGGACGTTCCAAAGATATTCCAGACCATGGCTCCATCATCTCGCCGATGGGAGTATACGTGATTAACCAACAATTAAAGACCGATATAATGAAGAATAATCTATTACGCAACAGCGAGGGGTAGATTAGCATGTCAGAAAGGCGAGAGGGTTAGTTTTGTAGCGGTCAACCAGAGATGCCTGCTGTTGGGTGGATGTCTCCGATGTGGTTCGTGAAACCATGATTTCCCAAAAGGAGAACGGGAGCGAGAGAAAGAGAAAGAGAGAGAGAAAGAGGAGGATCGGGAGGAGATTCCAGAGAGTCAGGGACGGTCGCATATCAGTGGATTGAAGTATATTTGTAGCGTAAGGTTGTATCTAGTAGCTCACAGTGATGGCAGCGACCATCATTGGCAGGATGGGGGAATAAACCCAGACGCGATCAGAGAGGAAGAAAACAGCCCTAAGAGGAGAGGGAGGGGCCGCCTAGATTGAAGCCTAAAAAAGAAGCGGCGGGAACGAATTTGGGTGGCCCCAGATCCAGTTGCGTATCAGACGGGGCCTGGTGGGCAGAGCGATACGCCCGGTACCTGCCCAGCAGCGGCGATGGACGTACGCCCGCCAAGTACCTGAGCAGATCGACAGATCGTCTGGTATTGTCACCGCCGGTAAAGTTACCGATGGGCGCCAACAGAATCGGTCTTTTGCCGCAAGACACGCAGCATCTTTTTTCCAGCTTGACCTGCCCAGCTTATCTATCATCTCCAATCCTCACCTTCGAATCGATCCTGCGCCCTGCCAGAAAAGAGAGGTCCGTTGGTGATTTCTTCTTTTTCCTTTCTTCTGTCCTTGAAGCCCGCAGGTTTCCCTCCCTGTTTTCTTCATCTGGATTTTCTTCTTTCCCTCATCATATCCTCTTTTTTATTTTTTTCCCACCCCTCTCCTCATCTCCCTCCCTTGTCATTCTTCTCGCAAATCTGGGGGGCCTTTTGGGGTGCTTCTTTTTGTGCTACCAACTTTGGTCTTTTCTCTCACATTGACCAAACCAGACCCTTTTTTTTCTTTTCCCTTTTTTCCTTAATTTGATTAAATAACCTTTTTTCTTCCCTTTCCCTGCTTGATTTCGACCGTCACTCTCAACAAACCTTTTTAAACTTTCTCCTCTTTTATATTTTTCTTTTTTATATTTTTTCTTTTCTAACCTCCTCATTTCATCATTTGATCGTTTTCTTCCCTCTCGCTCTGTCATCATTTTATCTCTGCTCTTCGGTCATTTATTGTCGTTCTTCCCTCCCTCCCTCCACCCTTCCAAACTTTCGCCATCCAGCGCCCAGTGGTGGAGGCCGAACCGAACCTGCGACAAAAGGATAAAAAGGCCTGACTGATCTGCTCGGAACCACTTCGGGTGTCATGCTTGCGCTTGTCTGTGTCACGGCTGAATTACATTAATGCTGGGCCTTGTCTCTCGTCCACATTCCCATCCTTCGACCTTCCACTAATCACGTCTTTTTTTTGCGCAACAAGCACATTCTCCGCCCATACCAACTGCACCCTCTCTCTAACCCTTTGTCCTTCCCCCTTGCCGCTGCGAATCGTCCGAGCTCCTAACGTCTCTGTCTGATTAAACGGATACCCCCCCCCGTGTCGGCTATCCCTCCCTTCTCCCAGAGGGCACATGAGGGCGATCTGCAAGATTCGAACTTCCTGGAGCATGCACGGAGCATAGTAACGTCGCAATACCTTCTGGCGATTTCGATCTACGGCTATTTGCTGGGCCGTGGGTGGACAAAGCGAAGCGCTTTTTATCAAGCTCTTGTCACCTTGCGTTGTTGACGGCCTCCCTCTCTCCTTCCTCCGCCTAGCATTTCTCGCCTGCCACGCTACTTCTCCCTTTCGTGCCCCCCCTTCGATCCCTGTATAATTTGTACAGCGCCTGACCGCGTCTATTCTGGACCCAGTCCAAATCCTATTCTTCGGCAACGTCTCCGCTGCCGCCCTATCTCACTTCCATCCCTTTCCTTTGGTGTTGGCTTCTTCACTCCTTTGTAAGTCCACACCTCATCCAACCGTTCGCAACTGGCTTCAGGTGCTTTGATCTCCAATCTGATCGGATGGCTGACTCGTGCAGTTCGGTATTCACCAGTCACCTCGTGCCTCGATTCCCCCCCATCACGGGTCGTATAATTATCCGTATTACTTCAGCCTCATTGTCATCTAGTGTATCAAGACGATAGTGCACACAACGACGTCATATACTAGCCTTACAGTCGGCTACGATCGACTATTCATACGTCGAACATCTACGGAGTGGTTCATATCTACGGAGGAGGATTCAGTATGGCTTCCAACCAGAATACAGCTCATAATGTAGGTTTCGTCAGGACAAGTGGCAAGCGGACTGGCTCGTTGACTGCTATACAGGTTCGTTCAGGCCGGGCGGGGAATATGACTTCATCGGGGTTTAATGGTGAGAGGACGCGAGGAGCTCCCTCGAGCATGGGGACAGGCTTCGGTGGTGGAAATGGAAACTGGAATGGCAGTATCTGGGGAAGCGGTTTCGATGGTACGCAGCTAGTGGGACAGTTGTCTACTCGGGTGATTGCCGCTGACATGGACCTTACAGACCAGCACAGCGTGGAGAATGCTTTCGAGGGCAAAGCTGGGTCAAGTTCTTTACTGTCGTCTTCCGAATCTGATGGCTGGAATACCCGTCCTAACCTCCCATGGACTACGATCAACACATCGGCGGCAACCTTGTCGCGAGCCCCGAATAACGGCATGACTACATCTCCCGTACAAACACGGGCCAATGAGCGCAGCGCAGCTGGTCTTCCTGATGGTACCGACTCTTCCTCATATTTTGCCTTACCCAAATCGGGGATTGGTTCAAGTGGCGGTGCTGGACATAAAGCTTACCTGAGCACCGGGTCCGACGGCATCTCACCGTCTGGCGAGGGCATGAGCCTTGGCAATTTCGGAATGAGAAACGGTGATAACAGGCGGCAGGTAAACACTTCTGCCTTTGGCGGAAGCCCTGTGGGATCTGGGTTTCCCATCAAGGCAGGGTTCACAAGCCCATTAGACAATCAAAGATCTGATGACGTGACCACATCGATGGGCATGTCCACCCTGCAGTCTGCTCTACCTGATTACATGACGCAGCACATTGGACGGAACTCATATTCCCACACTGCGCATAACTCGGCTTCCTTCGCGCCACAGCGACCATCGCACTCCACCTACCCGTCATTCCACTCCGAAAGCCAAGGCTACGAGGGGCGGTCCGGTAGTGGCTCCGTCGATCTTGGCTCTGGTCTCAACAAGCTGCAGCTGAATGAGGGCAATTTCTCGGGGCACCCGGCCCTTAGCCGTCCAGCCTACTTACCACACAAATCGTATGATGCCAGTCTGACGCGATTGAAATATCACAACGGTAATGACGAGGGCGAATACCAACTTCCGCCCGGTTACGGTAATGAAGGTGTTCCGCCAGAGCTACCCTTGGGATATCAGCCGAGCAGATCGCGGGTCCAGGACACAAATCCCATATCTCCCACTGAATATCGCATTGACAGCCCCTTTTACGCTCAGGATAATGGCGCACACTTTCGTACAGGTTCCGCAGGCCAGGTAACGGGCAATGCGGCTGCACTGCTGGAGCAGAAGCTACGAGCTGACCAGGAGCTTACACAGCAAGCGGTCAATCCACTCCACAGGGTCCAAATGCCTGCTGCTTATGATCTTGCCGGTTATCAAGCACAGAGGCTCAATGCCCTCTCTTTTTACCACCCTGTCGCCCAGATTGGCGCAGCGGCTCTTGTCTCCCGGGGTCATCGTGACCATGATCCTTCACAAGTGGTGCGGAGTCCAGTGTTAGAGGAGTTTAGGGCTCAAAACAAGGGGAACAAGCGCTACGAGCTAAAGGTAAGTAACAGTCGGGTCTCGTTAAGTTATTTTGCTAATTCCGTGATAGGATATCTATGGTCACATCGTAGAATTCAGTGGCGACCAGCACGGGTCGCGCTTCATCCAACAGAAACTAGAGACCGCCAACAGCGATGAGAAGGAACAGGTGTTCCGCGAGATTCAGTCCAACAGCTTGCAGTTGATGACGGATGTGTTCGGCAACTACGTTGTTCAGAAGCTCTTTGAACACGGAAATCAGACCCAGAAAAAGATTTTGGCAAACCAAATGAAGGGACACATTCTATCCCTGTCTACCCAAATGTACGGGTGCCGCGTGGTGCAAAAGGTAAGTGTCTTCTGCTCGTCTCTCAATACAAAAAAAATCTAATTCGCGACAGGCTTTGGAACACATCCTCACCGATCAGCAAGCATCAATGGTTAAAGAACTCGAGAACCACGTTCTTCGCTGTGTTCGGGACCAGAATGGAAATCATGTCATTCAGAAGGCCATCGAGAGAGTCCCATCGCAATACGTCCAATTTATCATCAATGCTTTCAAGGGCCAAGTTGAGCGACTGGCTACACACCCATACGGGTGCCGTGTCATCCAGCGCATGCTGGAGCATTGTGAGGAAGTTGACCGGGAGTCTATCTTGGGTGAACTGCATGCCTGCACGTCCAAATTGATCACAGATCAGTTTGGCAACTATGTCATTCAGCATGTCATTGAGAACGGCGAAGACAAAGATCGGTCTCGTATGATTGTGGTCGTCATGTCTCAACTCTTGACTTACTCCAAGCACAAGTTCGCTAGCAATGTGGTCGAGAAGAGCATTGAATATGGCGAGGAGTCTCAACGCCGGCAGATGATCAGCACGCTGACGAGCGTCAACGAGCGAGGGGACAGCCCTCTGATCAGCCTGATGCGTGATCAGTACGGCAACTATGTGATCCGTAAGTTGCTTCCTAAACCGCCAATTTGGTATGCTTACTAACTTCCCTTGCAGAGAAGATCCTTGGGCAGCTGGACGACACGTCCGAAGAGAAGTACAGTCTGGCCGTACGCATCCAGCCGATGCTTGATCAATTGAAGAAGTTCAGTTATGGCAAGCAGATCGTGGCCATTGAAAAGTTGATTGGGGGGGTCGTGCCACCCTCCGGCGCTCCCCTGGCCCACGCAGCCACATCCACGACGCCTCCCAACTCGCACAAGTCCTCCCCCCAGCCTTCCAAAAGGGCTGTGAATGGTGTCGAGAACTGCCGTGCTCCTGTGGTTGGCGCCGCTCCGCCGACCCCGCCTCCCACCGATACGCAGAGCAATGCTGATGGCTCCTCGGAAACCAAGCATATGGCGAAAACCACGGTGACGCCCTTGGCGGAATGTGAGTCGGCCGACCCGGTGACCAGCGACTCAGTCGAAGTCACTGGAAGCACCTAGGCCTGTTACGTTCCGAACGTTATTCTTACTTCTTATGAATTATATCTTTATAACTGGTCACGCACATTCTCCCAACTTGCTCTTAATACTTGGGGATATACATATTGTGGGCGCGAAAGAGGTTTAGAAGCGCGGAGCTTCGTCATCTTCTTGCCCAACTTCATGGCTTTATGGCGCTACAACGAGGATGACGGCGGAAACTGATGTCCTTTTGCTATTTTTACATTGCTTCCAATTTTCGCCTCAAGCCCTCTTTTCACTTCTTGATACTTTTTTTTCTACCTCTCTACCCATTTAATTGCTTGTCGATGTATTCCCCTTCTTCTGTTACTCTGAAGTTCGACGTGATGAAAATGAGGACACGCCTCCATAGCTTATCAATGTTTTCTGTTTCTCTTTGTCCACACACACACGAGGGGCCGGCGTCTTTATTGGTGAATAACGGGTTCATGGGACATCGCGCTTGATTTTCCTCGATGGGTTACAAAACGGGACCTTGGACATGGACATATGGGAGACCTGGAAATAGGGAGAATATAAGGGATGCCTAGAGTATGTAGAGGCCTTGCTGTCTCGGTATACAGACGATCAAAATGAAAAGCATTGCTGTTGCTGATCCAACACCCTTGAAATTATCGCAATTTAAGTATTGTAGAAGAACTGCATATCTAAGCGAACAGCAACTTAGAAAGCAATTTCGATCTCCTCTCACTCCCGCCTTATCACTTACCTATCACCACGTGACCACAAGCTCTCTCCATCGCCGCATGACTCGCCGATCCAGACCTTCGCCTCTCCAGCAATAATAATATCCATTATCCTCAACCACCACTTCCACCCCAATAAACCAACCCTCAATCACTCAATACCCAACAACCTCACCCCACCACATCCAAACACCACAGAAACCAAACAAAGAACCGAGAAAGAATAAGAAAGAAACAAAAAATGTCCTCCAACGTCGGCCTCTCCACCCCGCGAGGCAGCGGCACCTCGGGCTACGTGCAACGCAACTTCGCATTCATGAAACCCCGCAACGCCGGATACGGCGCGCCGTACCCTCCCATCAGCGGCTCGAACTCCGCCGACCCCTCCGACAAGCCCTTCAAGCAGCGACAACCCGACAAGCAGATCCTGGAGCACGATCGCCGGCGCGCAATCGAAGTGAAAGTCATGGAGGAGCGGGAGAGATTGGAGGAGGAGAATGAGAGGATTGAGGAGGAACTTGAGTCGAAGCAGAAGAAGAACAAGAAGAAGGGTGGTGATGATGATGATGTGAAGAAGGAAGAAGGGGAAGAGGAAGAGGAGGGTGAGAGGGTGTTGACGGAGGAGGAGATTGAGGAGAGGTGTGAGGCGTTGAGGAAGAGGTTGGTGAAGGAGATGGAGGAGGAGGATAAGGAGAGGGAACGCGGAGGAGGTGGGAATGGGGGAGGGAGACGCGGACGCAGGGCGTGGGATTTGCCGCCGAAGGAGAGACGCCAGTTTAAGAGTTATCAGGTGCATGAGTTGGCGGAGGCGAAGATTGAGGAGAGTGAGAGGTTGAGGAGGGCGTTGGGGATTAAGGAGGAGAAATAGGTGGGATTTGGGAGATGGGTTGTTTTCTTGAGTGTGGTTGAGATGGGTTGATTGATTGCATTTGGGTGGTTTGTTTTTTTGTGTTCTTTTCTAAAGGTGTTAGTGGTTGGCATGGGTGCTGGTTCTATTTTATCATTATCATGACTACAGTACTGGGATAGCAGCTGATTATTGCATCATAATCATCATCACCACTTTTGTAATTGTAAGCGTCTGGTATATACATTATGCGACAAATTTTTCAATCACCCATCCCTCCTTCGCATCCTTCCTCTGGATGACCTTCTTGGCTGGTAACGGCCACCGTGATCCGCCGGCCTCACCCACCAGAGACGGGATCACCCAGCATGATCGCCGCTGAGGGATACCCTCGATCAACTCCGTCTTGCCGATGGGCTTGCCGTACTCGATCAGCGGCGTGCCATGTGCCAGCGCAGAGAGCTGTAGTCCGCTAGGTGTGGCGAGGGGATACATCCGGATCTTAGGCGTCTGGTCTGCAGACACAATGGAGGGCGACGATTGCTGGAGATGCGAGTACACAATATACTGGGGCATTTCCTTAGCCGAGAGCTGCGCAATGACAGACGACGGGTGCACATAGACAGCCTTATCGTCAAGCTCCAAGCCGGGGCCGTCACGAGACCGCATCAGCGTGAAGTAGGGGACATCGATAGCTCGCTTGGGGGTACGGTGCATCTCAGGCGGGACGGGCGCAAGGTCCGCGCGGAGAGCAACATTGTCGATGAACCCAGCCGTGATGATCTGTTTGATGGCCTTGACCTGCTTTTCGGTCGGTTCGGGCAAGCGTGCCTGATAGGCCTGAACCAGGCCCGGGTTGTTGCTGCGCACGATGTCTGTCAGCTGGCGACGGAGCTGCGTGGCTTCCTTGAAGGCCTTTGCGCGCAGGAACATCTTTTCACAGAACGAATCTCCGTCGGAGGCGTATCCGTAGGCGCAAATCGCCGACAGGTACTTCAGCGCGTCGGAAGTATCATCGTGCTTGCTGAAGAGACGGTGCACCCGGGCGTAGTCCTTGTGGCGCTGCTCCCGAGCGGTGTCTTCGAGACGGTCCGAGTTCGTGTATACACCCTTGCCCTCGTTGTCGTCCTTGTTGGCTGGTACAGGATCGATCTGGTTCTCGGGAACAAACAGATCGCCTACTGCGAGGGCGGAAACAAGTGCGATGACGTACGGCATACAGCCGTGCTGGTGGCCAACGTACAGCATCTTGCCAAATCTGGGAGACAGAGGATACGTAGATAGGCGGTTACCTATTGGGGTGATCTGGCCTTCGGAGGTGAGTGCGCCCAGGTTCTTGAGAAGTTTCTCAGCCTTGGCAAGACCCTGACGGCTGGGTGGTGTCGGGAATGGGAAGTTGATAACATTGTGAAGTCCCATGCTCTTCATCTGAAGTACGACACCCTCGATCGGCGTCCGCAGAATCTCTGGGTCGGTGTATTCGGCGAATTCATTCTCGTAGATTGCCGAAGAGTATAGACGGTAGCAATGACCGGGTCCAGTTCTACCAGCACGTCCAGCTCGCTGATTGGCACTGGCCTTGCTGATCCATTCAATCTGGAATTTCTGGACGCCTGTTGCAAGATCGTACTGCTTCTCCTTTGCTCTACCACAGTCAAACACGTACTTTATGCCCGGGATTGTAAGACTAGTCTCAGCCACGTTGGTGGCTAAGACAATAAGGCGGGAGCCTTCCGGCGGGGGTTCGAAAACCCTAAGTTGCTCCTTGGTAGGAAGCTGGGAGTACAATGGGAGCACGTGGACCCGAGTCGTCGAGCTCATGGCCTCTTCACCAAGATCAAACTCGTCTTCATCTTCCTCGGGTTCATCCAACCCAGTGATTTCGAGATCGCTCTCGTCATCTTCCTGGTTGCCAGCAAGTGACAGGTCGGTACCGCCGATCTCGAGATCCTCTGCCTCAAGGGGTGCATCGTTGGCAGAGATTTGGACCTTGGCTTGAGTAGCTTCGCCGCGCTGGGTGGGTTTGAAGGCCTGCTTCAAACGCTTGGACAGCTGACGGATCTCATTCTGTCCGGTCATGAACACAAGCATTCCGCCCGGAGGTAGCTTGCGGTGACCCCTCGACACCTTGCGGAATGCCTCTTCGACATAATCGCGATGGGTACGTCGGGAGAAGTGTATGGTGACAGGGTACTGGCGACCTTGCGCCTGAACCAGGGGTGGCGGTCCTTGGCGGAAAAGATTCGGATTTTGCGTGAAATCAGAGATGCGCAGGGTGGCAGACATGACCACGAGCTTCAGAGGCTTGACAGACGGGTCTTCCTCCTGCATAGCCTTCCGCAAGTCGACAATGCGGCTGACCATTCCAATGAGAATATCGGTGTTGACGCTCCGTTCGTGGGCTTCATCAATCACGATGACTGAATACTTGCTGAGGGAGAAGTCTTCGGCAATCTCGCGAATGAGAATACCATCAGTCATGAACTTGATCGCGGTTTTGCTAGAGGCTGTGCTCTCAAATCGAATTTGATAGGAGACTTGGTCGGAGAATTCGCCCAGTTCTTCGCCTACACGCTTCGCCATACTGACTGCTGCGACTCGGCGCGGTTGAGTCACTCCGATCATGCCTGGATTGGGGCTGTCCGGGTTACCATAGCCCGCTTCGAAGAGGAACTGGGGAAGCTGGGTTGTCTTTCCGGAACCGGTGGCTCCCCATATAACGATCGAGGAATTATTGTAGATTGCTTCCATGATCTTCTGTTCCTCGCCAACAACCGGCAGACCCAAGCGTGCATTTTGTATTTCCTCTGACCGGTTAACCTGGACACTAAAGGCTTTCCGGTTAGGATCACCTGTGGTGACCTGAAGTTCCAAGGGTAAGGGTTCTTCCTCGGCAACGGTATTCCTGACTGGCTTCTTGCGTTCCGGGATGAAGGGCTGCTCCTCGACGACTGGAACAGTGGTAGGCTTGAAACCGATGGCATCATTGATCTGTTGCCTGGCCCAAGATTTGAAGGCAGATTGTCGAGGTTGGCCCACTTTATGCTTCTCTTCCTCTTTGTCTTCCTCGTCTTCGTCTTCTTCGCTCTCTTCATCATCGTCTTCATCGTCCTCTTCTTCCTCGCCATCACTCTCGCTTCCCTCATCGCTTGAGCCATCGGAGGATGTTCCCTCCGAATCTTCATCTTCGCCCTCTTCAGACTTCTCGTCTTCATCTTGATCCTCATCCGAGCCAAAGCCTTCCCACGGTACTTCTGGCATCGTGATCGTTATCTCGGGTTTCTTCGAAACCTGCTTTCGCTTCTTGAGAACCGGGAATCCATCTGGACCGAGTTCCAGAGGGCGCTTTAACCCGATACCGATCGCTGGATTCTCTGCGGGTTTTTGCGCGGGGGCTTCAGATTTAGATGCGCTAACAGTGGTCTTCAATTGGGGCAACGAATCGTCCGAATCATCGTCCGAGAGGTCAAGGTCCTGATCAAGGCGGGAGTCGGGTTCCGCAGTTCTAGATACGGCTGGTACTTCATCTTGTCGCTTGCGCTTTCCTAATTCCCTAGAGCTCTGGAGAGACGAGGTATCAACCTTGGATTCCGCGAGCTTTTTTAGCAGCTCAAGATTCTCTTCTTTCTTTAGCTTGTTTTCCTGCACAGAGCGTTAGATACAACATTGGGGGATAGTCAATGTAGAGTCGCACGCACAATATACTTGTCCAAGCGCTTCTGCTTCTTGGAAGAAACCTGAGCATGCTGTGCTCGCAATTCTTCTTTTAGCTTCTGCCGCTTAGCCTCCTTCTCATCCTTGGAGACGGGCGCAAGTTCGGCAACATTGGTGTCTACCGGGGCGGTTGTTGCCTCCCTTTGCTTGTGCTTTTGCTTTCGCTGGCGGGGGACAAACTTGGGCATGATCACTAGAATTGACCCTTTGCCTTAACTGCAAGACAAAGTGAATCAGGTCCCAGAATGAAAGCAAAAGTGAACCGCGATAAGAGAGTGCCGTGAAAAAAATCAGGCGGCGGCCACATTCTGCCCGGAAAGCGGTGAGTATAGACCTCACCGCCTGGGATGTACTTCACGGCGTGTCACCCCTCTTCACTCTCTCCTCTCCTCTCCTGCCTCGTCGCGTTTCCCTCGTGTTTATTATAGTGTTACTGTTTATTTTTATTCTTTTTTCATCATCCTAAGAAGAGAACTTGTGCATTTTATTGCTTGTCAGAGTATCTCTCAACATTAGGGACAACAAAAAACAACCATGGATAGTGCGCCTTTTGACATCAACCAACTCCAGGATCTAAACCTGCCCTACCCCGCAGTCACGAAGCAGGTTGTTGGAGATGTCAAGGGGATCCAGACAAATGTCACCTTGATCAAATTTAGTGACAGAATTCTAATCACAATCTCACAGAAAGGCCGACTAGGACATTGGGTTAGTCAATAATCATGCCATACTCTTCTCATCTCAACTAACCTACTTCAGCTTCACGTGCCACTTGAGAACAAAAACCCAGGAACAGAGGGCTTTCACACCATTTCTGAGCCGGCTGAGGACAGTCTTCTTCCTATTGGCAATTTGACTGCCACGTCACTGCTCGGTGGCCGGGCTCCTGGTCATGAGGTAGTTGGTCAGCTTTATGCTCGTCAAATCGCCAGTGCCATTGTCACCAAGACGCCCAATGAGAAACGTATGCTCGTTTTGGGCCTTGGGCTTGAAACTGCCGACGCGGATAGAGATGTCTTCTTTGCCGTCATTGACCTCGTGCTGCAATGCATCTAACGAGCCAATAAGGTGGCCCAATGACATGACCAACACTATGCTAGGAACTTCCACTTACCGAACTATATCCTCAACGTCACTCCTACGTCGCATGAGCTGCACGCACGGGTCCTGCCTCGCGAGTATTAGGTTGGTGAGACGTTTTCGTTCCATCCTAGTGAAGCCCACGAATATCAGTCTCCCAAGGACCTCGAAAGCTCCACTGAACAAAGCCTGGATCAAATCGTTCTCGTCAAACCCGGGGATTTTCCAATTTTCAGTGACAGCGACGGTCAAGTCGTGGACACGCAATGGTCCCTCCATTCTCAAGGTGGTAATGAAGAGCGAAAACCCCCAGCGACATCGAACTGCCGCTTCATGGTTCTTGTCACCAAGTGAGAGCACAAGCGAACCAAACGTTCTTTCTTTGTCGCACTCAATATCGAGACAAATGAATCCTCTGCGCTTATAAATGCATCGATCCAGCTTAAGGGGGACACTTTTGAGGTAATGCACAGTGGACCCTCCGTACTCCTTGAGGATAAGCCTGCTGTATGGAAGCGAATAGAAAAAGACCAGCAAGGCTTCATGGAAGATCTGATGTGAAGTCAGGAGGATAGCGAGGCCCGTGGTTGTCTGTGCGAATTTCTCTAGCTCCACGGTGCTCCAGTTGTGCGGGAATAGGCATTCCCATATTTTCAGTCTGACTTCCAGGGGGAGACGGTACAGGAGACACTTCGACATCGGCTGCGTGTCAAACTGGGCTACTTTCAGCATTTTTGTGATCCCTTCATCGACTACGTCACAGTACTTCGGCTGCTTGTCATGTTCTTCGAAATCACTAATAAGCCCTGTTTCTTTGTCGTACAATGGCTTGACAAAACGAATTACTGGTCTTGACGGCGTCCGATGTTAGCAGCAAATTGAGTTCGGGGTTGATCAACACGCTGAACACGACTTACCCACGATTGCTGGGATCATGGCGGTTATGCTCTTGCACCAGACTCTGATGCAGGCCTTGGCTTTCAAAGATTCCTGATGAAGCCACTCCAGCCATGTCATCGAGACGAAAATGCGCGGAATGTTTGGAGATGGGGTTCGGTTTTAGATTAAGCAGCAAACTGGGGTCAAGGCTAGTTGCAAGGATGGGCAGAAAAGGGGGATAGTCTGTGATAGTCGGGAAAACCATGACCTGGAGCAGCTGTGCATGGCCAACTGTTTGCATGGTCTCATTAGCCAAACGCAATCAAAACACAAGTTGCTAGTAGTGAATGATTACATTGTAGCAACATACTTGACACGCTGAGTTGTAGACCCAGTAATTACAGCTATCAGTATATGCCCATCTTTTCTCCCTTTCGACTCCCAGATGGAGACATTTGGCATCCTTCTGCCTATATGGTGCATTGGGGTTCAACTGGTGCTCTCCAGCTCAGCCCGTCTCGGTCACGTGCCAACTGCCAGGATCCCAGGGTGTGAAGTGAACCTGCACTCCCTCACTCCTAACAACTTCCTCCAAATCTATTCAACCTTCTTGTTTCTCAAATGTGATATTCCTTACTTAATTCTGAGATTATTTGTTTGATGAAATTAGTGTTGCGCTTGTTTTGCTGCGCTGGAGCATCTTCAGCATCGGCCTTGTAAACAGACAGCCTCCGGTACAAACCACCATAAGGCCTGTCTTTCTTTCCGCTGCTTGTTACCGACTCACCCTCTCTTAGTATCACTATCCTTCTATCCTCCTCTAACTGTTCACATTTGCTGTCACTGAAAAATTACTAAATATGGCGCCAAATGAAAAGGGACGGCAATTTGAGACGTTTGATCTTGACTCTGAACCTGACCAGCGTCGCAACGCCGAGAGACAGGTCGTGGATCTCACAGCAGAGTCAGATTCAGATGAAGTTATACCCGTCTTTCCGAAGTCGCGATCCGTAATTGGATCCGACACGGATGACGAAGCTGGTGATGACGATGAATATGATGAAGACTTGAAGAGAGCTATTGCGCTCTCGTTGCAAGAAGCTGAAGGAGGCCCACATAACGCCTCCAGTCACTTACATATTAGCGACTCTGGGAAAGGAGAGAGCCAGAACACTAGATCCCCCTCGGTAAAAGAGGTCGAAGGGAAGGCGAACGACCATGAACCTGCTAAGTCCATGGGTGTCCTTGGTCTCGATCGAAAGCAGATGGAGCAAGAGCGTCTCGCACGACTTGCTAAAAGAAAGGCTGAGGATACTAGCTCTATTGATCATCGTGAAGCTAAGCAATCGAAGATCGACTCAGCCCCAAGGCCTAGTGTCCAACCCACCATGGCTGCTGGGGGTACGATTATGTCCAAGTTCCAGCCTACAAGCTCTAGGTCCATCCCATCTACCTCACCGTCGACTCAATATCCAGAGGGTGCTGTCAAAAAGACGTGGGCCTTTGGATATCCTCGGCAAGGGGACGATATCAAGATCGAAGAGGTCTTGCAGAAGGCTGATCTAGAGCTTGCTGTTATGAGTTCATTCATGTGGGAGATGGAATGGCTGTTCAGTAAATTTAACATTGAGAAAACCCGTTTTATTCTGGTTATGCAGGCTGAGGATGATGCTACAGTGAGTATTTCCATTGTCCCTTGGATGCTGGAATCGAGTCTTTGTCTAGAACAAGCTAACCACTAGAGAAGAAACGTCAGTACGAATCAGAGACGGCGACCATGCGGAATTTGCGGTTATGCTTCCCACCAATGGGTGGGCAGGTCGTTTGCATGCACTCGAAGTTGATGTTGCTCTTCCACCCTGAATATCTTCGCCTGGTGGTACCGACTGCCAACCTAACCCCATATGACTGGGGTGAGATGAAAGGAGTCATGGAGAATGTAATAGGCACAAGAGCGTCAACCTCTGGTGAATCCCTGCTGACACACCTGTAGAGCGTCTTTCTTATTGACCTTCCGAAAAAGGATGTCCCGGAGAAGCCTACGACTCACTTCTACCAAGACCTTGTGGTTTTCCTTAAAGCCAGTACTCTTCATGAGAATATCATTGCCAAGCTCGATAATTTTGACTTTAGCAAAACATCGAAATATGCCTTTGTCCATACCATGTGAGTTTCCTTCCGCTAACACAAACCGCATCGAATATGTCTAACAGTCCCAGCGGTGGCTCTCACACAGATACGGCGTGGAAACGAACAGGCTACTGCGGCCTAGGTCGTGCAGTGAAAAGGCTGAACCTTTGTACATCCATACCACTCAACATTGACTACATCGTGAGCACACACTTTCTACCCATAAACATCTACTACATGCTCACAATTAAAAGGCCTCCTCCGTTGGCGCTATAACGGACCAATTTCTCCGCTGCATGTACCTCGCTTCACAAGGTACACAGACTCCCATATCCCCTGCCCCTAACCCCCATAGACCCGGCAACTGACACCTGGACCTCCCAAACCCAAAGGTGACGACGGCCTTACCGAGTTCAGCATCCGCTACGCCAAAACCTTCCCAGTCCCTCGACGCGACAATCCTTCCAAACTCCTCAAGAAAGACACAGGCTCCGAATGGAGTGACCGATTCCGTCTCTATTTCCCATCCCAGAACACAGTCGCAACTTCAAAAGGCGGTCCTCGCTGCGCAGGCACAGTCTGCTTCCAGTCAAAATGGTACAACGGCGAGAACTTCCCACGGCATATACTCCGCGACTGTGAAAGTCAAAGAAAGGGCTTGTTAATGCATAACAAGGTACTTATATCACCCCCCTTCCTTTCCCTTCAGGATATGGTCCTCACATCACTCAACGATAGATCCTCTACGTCCGCTCCGACGAACCCATCCCTTTATCAGAAACAACCCAATGCCGCGCATGGGCTTACATCGGAAGTGCCAATATGTCCGAAAGTGCTTGGTGCGTGTTCTACTCAATGACTGCCTCCCCCAAACCCAACACTCTAGTTCACTAACCCAACTCACCTCACTTCCACAGGGGCCGCCTCGTCCAAGACCGCTCAACAAAATCCCCCAAGCTCAACTGCCGAAACTGGGAATGCGGCGTAATAGTCCCCGTTATCGAAGATAGGACGGATACCCCAGAGGTTAAGGATAAGATACACGAAGATAAAGGCAAAGGCAAAGCCTCTGAATCTTCTTCGTTATCATCATCGGATAATGACGACGGGGCAAATCTCCCGGTTGTATTCGGGAATACTATTCCAGTTCCGATGCGTGTTCCCGGGGCGAGGTATGGAGGGGGGAGAAAGCCTTGGTATTTTGCGGAGAGTCAGTCTTGATGTTGGTTTTCTGTCGGAGTGGAAGTGATAGTTAAGGGGAAGTGTGAGTGGTTTATGATACTAGTCTGGATGTTAATCTTGGAAGGGGTAGGGAATTTATAATATTTGTGGGTAGATGTATGTGCAAAGATACAGACAGATACTTGTCTTGGTAGATAAGTAAGAAATATCTGACCAATCTGAAGATACAAAGTTGCTGCTACTTACTAGGAGGATATCAATGAAATATATATATGTCGGATGATATGCATTATGTACCTATTATGGGAATGAAATATAAACCCAAGAAAGAAACAAACAAAAAAAGGCTGACAAAAGAGCCAAGCCACCCAACAAACACACACGCTGATGCATCTCTATCTATCTGCATGATAACGTAAACCAGAAAAAGGGGGTAAAAAATTCCCGAACCGATATGCTTTTCTCTATCTTCCTCCTGTTTCATCTCGTATCTCAGGCCACATAAGCCTTGTATAAATATGACTGTATATATGTTTCTGATAGTGATGTGTTTTATTTTTGTTTTTGTTTATCCCATGATTATCATGAGAGGAGATAACTCACGCACCAGCATCTATTAGAATAGATGAATGGGCTGTGGTCGTAGAGACAGTGGCAAGAGCCTTAGTTCTGAGCCTTGGGGGATCTCACGAACAGCTTCTTGATGCTGCCGAACAGCATGCCCAGCACAGTGAAGACGTATCCAAGTCCAAAGGACCAGCCGCGCACGCGCACGCAGTAGATCATGAAGTAGACCAGGAACCAATTAATGATCACATAGGCCAGGAAGATACCGAAGCAGCGCCACTTGTCGCCATCGTGCACATTGAGGGTGTGCATGTACTGGGAGCCGTTGGCGTAAGGGCAGTACTGGCAATCTGAGGAGGCGTTGGGGTTGGAGAGATAGCCGACGCCAGCACTTGAAACCCAGTCGCCGGCGTACTGAGAGCAGGTTTGGCCCGGGGGAGGGTTGAAGTGAGTGGTTTCCGAGGACGCACATTCGATGTCAACCGTGGGGAAGACGCTCGAGATGACACCACGGAGCCACCAGGTGACCGGGTTGACGTAGTACATCCAGTACTTCCAGAACACAGGGTACGCGGAGTAAGGACGGACAACACCGTTGAACAAGCCGGTCATGACGAAGAAGAAGGGAAGGGTCTGGTGAACATGTCAGCTAGGCTTGCTTCTGTTAATTTGTAACGCAGAATAACTCACATTGGAAATGACGGTGAAGGACGGAGCAAAGGCACAGATCCATTGACCCCAGCTGGCTTGGAACAAGAAGAAAAGCACGGACATGAGGAAGACATATCCGGCATTACTCGAATCCGTAGGGAAACCAGCCGGGTAGTACCACAGCAACCAGTAGATCAGGCCGGAGATGATAGCCATCGGAATTTCACAGACGATGTTGGCCGTGCAGAATGCGACCCAGCCGTAGATACGACTGGGGTACTCACGTGCTTCCCAAAGTGCCCGATTGATGTAAAACTTGGGAACCAGACTGTTCAGGACGATAGGCGGAAGAAGAATGATCAAGAAGATCGAGAACATGCGGTCCTGCATGCTAGAAATGGTGTTTCCAAGCATCCAGAAGGTCTATATGAGATTAGCCGAGTGAACGCGAGGACGCGAGGAGAGTTAAAAGTCGAGGGTACTTACAAATCCGTTGAAGATACCAATGATGACACTGACGAAAAGCTTTCCATAGTAGTAGGAGGGATCTCTCCAGTACTGTCTGAAAAGTCTCATCATGAGGAGGTAGGTCTGGGTGGTAACAGGAGCAGCGAATTCATACGGCACGCCCTGCTCGTCAAGCGGAATTTTGCTGCGCTCTTCTCTGATCGTCTTGATCTCATCCAGAATCTTCTGGTTCTGCTCTGAGTTCCTCCATTCTTCGTTCCAGTCAAAGCTCTTGCCATCCTTCTTGGTCGCCTTAGCCGCCGTCTCAAGAATGAACTCTGCGACGTTCTTCGAAGGGGGGCAGACAACACCACGGTCGGCGAAGTACTTGATAACATCGCGTCCCTCGTGACCGACCGGGCCGAAGTAGAAGGTGTTACCGCCAGGGTTCAGAGCCAAGATCATGTCGAACTGTTGGATCAACATGGACGAGGGCTGGTGGATGGTACACACGATAGCCTGTCCGGCTTGAGAAAGCTTCTTCAAAAATCTCACGATGGAAAAGGCCGCTTGACTGTCCAGACCGCTAGTGGGCTCATCGAGGAAGAGGAGAAGATTGGGCTTGGCAGCCAGCTCGACACCGATGGTGACACGCTTCTTCTGCTCGACGTTGAGGGAGCCAATGATGGCATCCTGAATCTCCTCAAGCTCCAGCAGGTCGATAATCTGGTTGACATAGGCAAGCTTTTCCTCATCCGGAGTATTTCTGTCCTGACGAAGCAGCGCAGAGAATTCGAGAGCTTCGCGAATCGTAGCGGTGTTGTCATGGAGATCCATCTGCTCACAGAAGCCGGTGCCTCGCTGGAAGTCGGTGCCCAGAGGATGACCATCAACAAGCATATCGCCAGTCACCACACCCATCTTCTGACGCTGAGCGAGAGTGTTCAGGAGCGTAGTCTTACCAGCTCCGGAAGCACCCATCAAGGCGATCATGAGTCCGGGTTTAGCATAGCCATTGACACCATTCAGAAGCTTCCTTGTGCCATTGCCGTAGGGAACCGTATATTCAACGTTGGACCAGGTGAACACGCGATCGCTAGATGAGATGCGGTTGAACGTCTCGCTGTTGCTGTTGGACTGGGCCTGGACTCCAGCACCCTGGGTCTTCTCTTCGTCACTTCCCTTGCCGCTCTGCGCCGTGAGCTGCTTAGCACGCTTGGAGCGCTTGAATACCAAGGCGCCGCCACCACCACCGACGAACGAGAGGAACTCGGCAGCAAAAACGGTCACCAAGATGTAGAGCACAGTGAAGGCGATGACCACACCGAAGTTACGCCACATGTGATGGCGGGTGAACTGGTAGGCCGTCTCGATGTAGTTGGAACCCGAAACCTGCGTCTGCCCGAGCTGAGAGCCCGTGAGAGAGCATCCCTGGTATCTGGGATCCAAGTCAGAACCTTGAGGGACCAGCATCGATGGGGCGCAGTCCATGAGGCGGCCGGCAAACTCGTTGGAAAGAACGGCTTCGTAACTGTAAGACAACGGGTTCACGTAGAAGAGCCATCCAAACCAGATCGAACCATCGATAAGGGACTGTTTGGGAATGACATAGCCAACAAACAGGATCAACACGTTAAGCGCAATACCACTGAACCGGACGGCGTCGTCAATCGATGGCGAAAGCGCAGCGAACATGCGATACATGGCCGTGATGCAAAACGTTGTGGTATACACGAAAAGGAAGTAGATCCAGTACTTGGAAGCGGTCACGTCGAGCCCAGCCATAAAGTAAACGATGATAGTGAAGGGGACGACCATGCAGAAGATGGCCGGGAAGTCCACGACCACACGAGCAATGGAAACAGCCGACGGACGGTAGAAGGCGTAATCCTTGTGACGGGCAACAATGCCACGCCCACTGACCGCGGGCATCAGTTCCGTCAACTGCAACCAACCCAGGAACAGAATCGAGAAGAACAGAGCACCACCACGAGAGAAGGCACCGCTGGTGTTCAACGATTCACCATAAAACAAGGACGAAACAATCAGAGCGTTGGACAGGATAATAAAGTACTTGGTGTAGAGCGAGGTCTTGTCACCCCAGAGCAGCCAGAACTCACGACGCACACAGGCGGCGACCTGGCGGACCAGAGAAACGGTGTACGGCGACTTCTTGGACACGGTCTTACTCTTCGACTCGGCGACCGACTTCTGAAAGCGACGGGTACTCTCCTGGTTGGTGTCATGAAGCTGCTTCTCATAGCCGGAAACATCGTCCAGGATACGCTGGTAGGCGCTGCTTTGTCTGAAGACTGACTCGAGCTCTTCGGGGGTCTTCGGAGTCGAAGCTTCCCGGCCGGGCTGGAATTGACGGGCGTTCGGATCGCAGAGGGAGGTCAAGAAATCGGCCGTGGTCGACTGTTCGGGGCAGTAGAAACCAAGGTTCACGAAGTACTGTCTCGCCTCGTTGGCGGGCCCTTGGTAGAGCATGCGTCCCTGGTCGATCACCATTACCTTGTCCATGAGTTCGTAGATGCTCTCACCGGCTTGGTACAGAGTGACGAGCGTGGTCCGCTTGCTAATGTCGGTCATGATGCGCAGGGACTTGGCGTAATCCAGGGCGGTGCTGGCGTCGAGGCCTCTAGTGGAGTTATCCCAGCAGACGACAGAGGACTTGGTGGCCAGGGTTTCCGCGATACTGACACGCTTCCGCTCTCCACCGGACACACCGCGGACATACTCGTTGCCGACCACGGTGTTCTTGGTGTGCGAAATACCGAACATCTTCAACAGAGCATCGATGATGATGGGGATACTCGCCTTGTCGTGCTTCTTGGTCTTGTTGATGAGGGAGAACTTGAGCGTCTGCCAAACAGTAAGGTTGGGGAAGTGCTGGTCATCTTCCTGGTTGTAGTTGACCTCACCCCGGAAGTGCTTGTGCTGCTCCTCCGCGGACATACCGCCGTAGCTAATCTCACCCTCGACGCCGGCGAAGGCTTCTCTGTCGTTGGCGATGGTCTTCAGGAAGGTTGAGCAACCAGCACCAGGTCTTCCCAGCACCAGCATCATCTCACCCTCCCGCACGGCACCAGTGAAGTCGTGAAGCAAGTCTCGCACGGGAGGCTTGCGGCCAAAGCGGAGTTGGGGGGCGAACCTGCAGATAATGTTGTAGAGATCGGGTCCAAAGGTACCGATGACGGCGTCCGGAAGGGTACGAACAAAAGAAGCACCGGTCTCGACACCCTTGACGGTGACACCTTTGAACACCACGCCCACCTTCTTGGCGGGTTCGCCTGCGGTCGTCCGGCGTTCGAGATGGCCGCCCATCAAGAACTCGCTGAGGTCGAAACCACCATAACCGCTGTCCGTGGTACCGGACAAGTCGTCGTCGTCGTCATCCATAGCCTTCTCCTCATCGCGAGCCTGGCTGGCGCGCGAGCGCAAACGCTGGGCTTCTCGGGTAGCGGAACGGGTCTGGTGCAGACTGAGGCGGGTCAATTCCTTGCGCATTTCCTCGAAATCCTCCATGGCGCCGCGACGGGAGACGGGCTCCTCTTCCTGTTCTCCCCAACGGCCATCAGCAGACAGGTCGGTCACGCTGGTCGATTGAGAGGTCACGGTCTGGTCGGAGGCGAGAACGTGGGAGCTTTCTTGAACGTGGGAGTGCTCCTGGGTGATAGTCGGGACATTTTGCAATGCATCCGGCTGACGAGCTTCGTCAGCCATGGTGGAAGGGGTGGCGCCTGTCGTCAGGCGAATTCCGAGGTGGAGATCTGCAAGTCGAACGTAAGGTGGTGGTGATATTGTAGGTTACCAACGGGGGTGGCGCAAAGCGAAACGGCGAATCCAGGGATATTGTTGACGGTATGAAACTCCAACCGAAGTCAAGTGGGAGGGGAAAGGATCAGGATAATAAATAGATATTAATAGATAAGACCACGAATACGGGAAGGCAAGGGATAAAATCCAAGTTTGGGTATGTATGGAAGATATGTACAGCCAAAAGATAAAGGCGATGATTAGCGCAGTTAGGGGGAGTAGTTGAGGATGTGGCACGGGACTGGGGCGCTCCAGGAGCTCCAGCACACGCCTTGGAGAGGAGTGGAGATTGGGAAAGGGGAGGGATGGAGGAGAAAGAAAGAAAGACCGTAATCGACTCAAGGCGAGGAAGAAACAAGAGCCATCCACTGAGACATGGAGGAGGGGAAGAAAGATAATAAATACTAAGCCAGTCTGGACGGACGTTGCATCACGGGTATAAACGATATTGGCGGCGCCGGCGTTATCAGACGCTAACGCCGCGGGACCACCTGAAAAAAAATTCATGAGGAAACTGGAGAAACACAAGGCAAGATGGAGGCGGATTTGTCAGGATTGCAAAGGAGCAGCGACAATAGAGTCGGCTTGTGTCCACAGCAAATGGACCCGAAACGGACCAGGGTCCATATCCGTGGCGGCGACGGCGAGCAGACGGAATTAACCAAGCAATCAGAGAGCGCAGAGAGACGGATCGAAGAAGTGGATTGCTGACAATTGGAACTGCAGCAAGAAGGCGATGGAAGCTGGACATTCCATCGGGTGAACTGCGGATGTGGGTCTTTTTCTTTTCATGAGTCAAGATGAGGTCCACGGATGTCACTTTCTAGAAATATGATTGGTCATGGGGGCCATGGATTCAGGGGTCGGCTGGGACCGAAGGGTTCTGAAAGCGGAAGGAGCGACGCGGATTCAGCGAGGAATTCGAGGAAATCATCTTCCTGTGCGCACTTTCCTCGTTTTGACTTTGCTGTTTGGATTGTTTGTTTTCCCTGCTTGTCATCATCCCTAACGGTGGGTCGGAGATAAGCCTACTTTTCTTACTTCCACTGACTTCCAGACCGGCGTTAACAATCTGAAAATTCGAAGCGGGGTCTCTTTTCGGTTAGTCCGAAACACCTCGACTCGATTATTTGCTCTCTTTGGCTACCTTTACTTTATTTACTATCTTTTTTTTTTCCTTTTGGACTTGCATCGTCATCATCCATCATCATCATCACTCATCCTTTATTCTTGGCTTGATGGAAGCTGACTCTATATTATTAATCACTGTCAGCTAGTTAAGAGTAGTTAACTAACTAGCTCATCCCTCACTAACTGTTTCATATGCTTGGGTTGACATGAGCTCATTTAACTAATTTAAACTAACCATAAGTAGTTAAGTAATAGATATGTAGATAGTATCTGGATGCCTGATGTGTACTTCTGAACTGGGGACGCAGGGAGGTTTCCAGTAATTTCTACTAACGTGGGAACTAGTCACTTTTCTTGGTAGTACTAACTAGAATATTATTGCTATAATTATTGTTGTCATTATTAATCAATCATCGAGGATGACGATCCCTCATATTCATTCATCCATCCTTTCATACTAGAGATACTCGGTTCTGAGCTCAATCGGCAATCGGGAGAGGGTCCCCGGCACCCGAGTCAGCCTGCCGATGTCTTTCTGGCCAAACCCAGTCAGTCAACGATTCAGTCCAGGTGGGTTTGGTGCTGGCTCGGAACCAACTATGGAGTAAGGTAAGCCTGCTGCTTGTTGCTGCTCTGTTGCTGCAGCCACAATTCCCAGCTCAAAAGTTGCACGATCGCTCACTTTTTTTTCTTTTTCCTCTTTTTTCCCCCCTCCCTTTCTGCGTGTCTTTTCCGGCCGTGGCCTCTGGTTGGTTCTCATCTTTCCATGAAACAACCTTCTTGGGCAGAGCTTGGACCCGAGCCACACCTGATTCACCCGGGACTTCCATGCCGACCGGGTGCGATCTGTCAGATCTGATGGGTGCCGGTTCTCGCCCTTCTCGTGTAGTTTCCAACTGGGATTCCGAGGCCTCTTCGTTTCGCCTTGTGCTTTGAATTCCCCTTTTTCCCTGTTTGCTCCATTTTCCATCACACCGCTTGGGCCTCAATTTCCCCCTCCCCCTCCACCTCCCACATCTTCTTCCCCCCCAAGCAACAGCCCAACTACTACTTGGGCCACCAGCTGACGGCTCAGGACTATGCCTCCAGGCAACGACCTCACCTTATCTGACCAATAATGGTATCTTCACAATTACCCACTAACAGTCGTGTATTGGTCTAGGCCTTCCCTGCACGGTTCACCTCCACTCCCAAGCTCAAGCTTCCCATCTGGCTCTTCCTGAGCTTCGAGTGAACTAAGAAATACTACATCTTCTTCTTCCTTTTATTTTTTTACTTTCCGGAAGTTCTCCCTCGACTGATAATATGGACCGATACTTCAACCTCCTACACTCTATCCCAGGCTTCTTCCTAGGGGTGAATATGCTACTTTCGGGGACTGAGCATCACACGGCAATGCACTGCATCATCTACACCGGACAAACTCCAGAATGCGGGGTTTGAATGCAGAGTCCACCAGATAAATTAGCGCAAATTCCAGATCCGTGCATGTACTCTCCAACTAAGCAGTAAGTATAGCAGTGGCAGCTCCGGACGGATCCATGCGCATTTTGCGGTCAGCTCAGGCAGCTACGCAAAGCGCGGAGTGGCTCGTAATGTTTCTCTCGCTCCCTTTTTACTCCTCGATTTTCATGAATATCTATCTACTGTGGCGTACTTCATGCTCAGTGGTTCCCTGCACCTGGACGCAAAATTGCGATGTCAACCTGCACGTTGCTCGGTGTGAGTGCCTAGTTGGCACTAGCCCCAAGCATGCCCGGTCACTCTGGCCAGGGTCCGCGGTCTCTCGCACCGCTATAGCTCAACCCAGCCACTACTATCTTCTATGATCCAGCCTGTCCGGCTGCGAGCCACTTGCCAATGGTTTTCCGCTGCCTTTCATATTCTTGGCGTGGATCTACCTCTGCGGCCACCGGTGACACAATCCGGTTTCTTTGGAACAATTCACCTGGCGTTACAACCCTCGTGTCGATGTTATGGCTTGCCGTATTTTGGGTTGACGTATCCCATCTATTCGCATCATCTGACGGAATAGCATGCCCTCTGCACGTATGGTGAATGTTGTCCAAGCCATGAAACTACCAGATCCACGTGTTCGACGAAGGGTATAGGCTGGTCGTGTAACCGGGTCTCCTTCCGGAGCAAGACTGTCGGCCTGTCGATGTTATTCTCAACTAATGTCGCATTGATCAACAATCCCTGCTTTCTTTCAACAGCGGATAGCACGGCTATATGCATAGCCTGCAGGGAAGTACCCCACAATGGCGTTACTCTTCCGGCATCCGTTGCCGGTTCCCCCCAACCAAACCACTATGGTTATGGTTGTGTCTATGAGACTGAATCATCGCTCTCATGTGGGACTCCATGCAGGATGAACCTACTATATTAGGGAACAAGCAATTCCGCGTCGTTGCCACCAGATTCAGTGGCCAATTCAGTTCGATACATTAATCAGTCCAGGGTATGTCTTTGGATGCATATGGTTGGATGTGGATGGGGCCAGCTCCTCACAGACCAACGAAGCTGCATCGAGTGCTGTCAATCACAAATCCTTCCTGCTAACCAAATGCTACTAGCTCGTTGCTAGCTTGTCTTTTGGGGGTGGATCGACACGAGGTTTGTCCAGCTACACACTGCTCGCAAACAAGCATCAATCAACTATGAACCTAGGGTGTTCTGCTACGCTTCCAGCTTCGTACTAGGGCGTATTGGAGATCTGCATAGTGGCTGGACTGGGCCCTAGCGGCTTAGACTAGACACGGGGCAACGGTGTAGATTTTGCAGACTGTTGCTTGGCAGATGGGTCTTTCCGGTAGACATAATATCTTCAGGGAAGGTGGATCCGTAAGCAGCGGTCTGTACAGGTATCTCACGGCAAAAATGTCTCATTGATGAAGACAAATGACAGCATTCTTTTCATTAACGGCAGTAACTGGTAGACAAAGAGCCTGATACGGATTTCCGAATGCTGCCTGTATAATACTTGTTCTGGTCACAGCCGGCTTTGGAGCAGGCTATAAGGAATGCAGCTGAGTCTAGAGTCGGATAGTTCCAATACACTAAAGTCTTCCAAGTTGATTGATATCTGCTTAGTAGTTTACCCGTGAACGAACCTTGCTAGTTACAGATCACGATATCACTCTAGTCATGGACTGTAGCTGGGTCTCATGGCGATACCTCCCTCTATCCAGCAATGATACTCCACGCGGTGACTCGAAACAACAGGTTTCCAAGCAGACACTCGATCGTTATCAGATCGCAAGATCAGACTAACAACTTGATCTCGCGGTGGATAGCATCAACCGGATCTCCTGATCGTCGTAGCAGCTGATAGCGGCGCGACGACTATATGAGCTGGATTTCTGGCTTAGCGCTGCTTTAGTAGAGATTGGTAGAGATCAGCCCTACGGCCCCTTGCATAGTCTGAGATCAGGTAGATTATCCGTCTAGCATTGGGGATATTGAAGCGCATTGAGAAGTTACGGGGACGATGCAAATAAGGTTCCCGTGACTGGATCCGCCTCCCATCTTTCTACCCGGCTCAACATCTTCCTTCCAGCCATCCTTCATGCCCACCTTTCCTCCCCTCATTACCTCCGTCGAGGTCAGTCTCTCATCGAAAGACCTTCTTCTTTTCACCTGACAATGGTCTTCGTAATGATCGCTGTCGACTGATTCCGCTCCTCTTGGCGCCCGCGATCCATGCGGCCATCGCAGACTCCCAGCTGACCCGCGCCGCCTCTCTCACCTGATATAACCTCGTCCATCTGTCGATTCGTTTGTCGTCATCGTTCCTCCCCAACACTGGCTCATAATGGCCTCTTTGATAAGTTCGCGAAACTCGGGCATTCCACCCGCAAAACGCACTTATCCCCCCGACATACCATAGCACCTTTTTCCCCCCGACCTCCTTCTCCGCACTGCCTTCTGATGGAGATCCAACAACAATATTGCAATGGGTATTCGGGATGACCGCGATGGAGGAGAAATGCCATCCTTCACCATGGCACACCCTACAATGGCCATGGTGACAATTGATCGTCCTGCCGCTCCAGCGCCGGATTCTTCGTCCCCCCTGAAACCAGCCGCCCAAGCTAAGCAACCCTCTGACCCGACGGCCACCCCAGACCCCAACCTTGTCAACCCCCGTCTTCTCGTGAATGGAGCTTGTATCTACGAGCGACACCTTCCAGGAGATGCGTACATTACTGCACACGTGCAGCGCCTTCAGCACGGGTTCTACGCCAGCCCCGCCGTGTCCAACCAAGACCACAACCACGTGGACTTCCTCGGTATCACCTTCGTCTTCCACTCGCCCAATACACTCTCCCATCGCTTCAAAGCAGCTACAATTCGGGCCTCTGTTCAGAGCGCAAGGGAGCAGTCATCGTCGAGTAACCGGACCCGCCATCCCCGCTTCCTCATGCATGCCCCGCACCTCCTCTACGGCGCCGTCTCCCCTGAAACACTACAGTGGAACTACAGCCTCAGCGGGTCGCTTGGAGTCTCTGACCTCCCTCTCGTCGCGAGCCTCTCACCCAGCGGTGGCATGAATGGTCGTTATAAGCGGTATGAGATGATGCGGATTCAAGGGTCGGTGCGATCGCTCAAAAGCCCGCGTGGTCGAGCCTTCGATGTTGAGGGCGGCGAGATCGTGTGGACCCTGGAGGAGAACAACCTGCAGCGATCGGGCCTGCCGCGCGAGTTCACCTTCGCCATGTTGATCTCAAAACCCCGCGCGGAGAGCCGGGTCCAGTTTGCGCTGGACATCGACCCCGTCGTCCAATGCTGGTGGGCAAGTTACCCGGGGCCCCTGCTAGCCCTACCGCGATACAAGCCCGTGCGTCGACGGCCGGTGGATTTCCGGACAGAAGTGGGCCAGCGTTTCGAGCCCCTCACGGCAGACAAGGGGTTCAACTTTGCTGCCCTAGAAAGCTCATTTGATAATTACGTGCATATGCCGGGGCGGAAGTTCTCATCTGGCGTACGTGGTACCCCAATTCCCTCGAGTGTTGGAATTTGGGAGGAGAGCAGGAATATATACTGACATTGGAGTTTGCAGATCTCCCCAGACGGCGGAATATCTCAAGACGACAACGAAGTCCGACGCGACGTGACCCGCGATTGGACGATGATCGAACCGTTGCGTGGAGTTCCCAAGCTCCCCGCCTTGCTGCCGGGCAAATCGGGACTCAACCTCAACCAGCCCATTCCTGCAATACCGGGATTCGACCCGGGGAGTTTCACAATGCGGTTACTGTTGGATAATGCACATGGGTCAAGCAGCCGGTACGCGCATGTGACATCGGAAGTGACCAACGTACGAAACGGGCAGCGAACGGAGCGACGAAGCAAGGGAAATAATAAATAGCATTTTTAGCATGGAGTTGGCGGGTGTCTGATTGTCTTGGTTTGTTAGCGATTAGCATGATATACCCGGCATACTAGATTGAATCGCTAGAATTGGGTGAACTTTTGCGCAGCGATCAGTTTAGATATAATTCAAAAGGGTCGATGCTGTACCTCCAAAGTAGAGTATGGACCATTTTATTATTGTCATCATTTACATAGTACTACTACGAGATGAAGTAGCATGATATTTCACCCATGAAAAATATACTACTGGTATATACTACCAAGTTCCATGATATGAAGTGTAGTAAATCGCCATATTCTACTCTACAGTGTCTGTACAAACTACGAAGTAATAGGTAAGTGAGAGTTATAGACACACAACATCATCACCACCACCATCACTACTAGTAAACGTAAACAAGTAAACCCAAGCTACGAAGCCAGTATCATATATACTTCTTCGCCTAGTCCTTAACAAGTACCCAGAGTGATATACGAAAGAGGAAACAACAGCAACATCGGTAATCCTCTTACAGTATCGTATAATACAGTATCGTCACGTAAGGTTCTTACTAAGAAAGTAGTGACGTAACACCCACCCACCAATTCCATAACTATCGAGCAACAACGCTTACCACCACGCAAACAGAATAATGAGGATAGACTCTATATGAGTTATATTACCAGGAAATAGGAAGTAAACAAATTATCCAAGTATATATGGATCTTAAGCTAGCACATGTTCTGCAGACGGTTATCTAACTCAAACAACCTGCCAACCACATATTAGTAGTTAGTTACACATGATGATCATGTGTAATGACTCTTCCTAACTACTAATATTCCGCATGGAATCAATGAATCGAAGCGAAGCTCTTTAGACATTAGAATGATATTAATTAATAAAGTAACTAATAGGAGTAAAGTATTTAATCAATCAAATCGAATATAACTCCAAATAAACAAAACACCCCATACTTCCTTTTCCCATATCAACCAACCAAACCACCTTTCTCATGATTATCAGAGATCCCATACATCAACAACCTCATACCATAACAAACAATCCTCTGAAAGAGAAAGAGAGAAAAAGAAAGAGATAGAAGAATCAAGAAACGGTCTAGATCATACTCCTCCCTCCCGCCGGTAAGATACTAGTTAAGCTGTGGAGGGTGTGTTGTGGAGGCAAGTGTCACCGTGACATTTAACTTCATCTATTATCCACATCCACCATTTCTACTACCAGACAAGACCCTCTTAACTTCCCGCTTCGATCGATCGCATCGATCAACTAATTCCACTAATTCCACTTCTATCTGAAATGAATATGTGGACCTCTTTTCTTGACTACTACCCAGTTCCCTGTTTTTTGATAATACGTAGTACTATACTTTCATACTAGCTAAGGTACTACTAGATGGTCTAGACCATTGGGGATTTGATTGATTGATTGGCTGGCAAATTCAATGTTATGTGTATGTGAACTATATGTCTACTACATCGTGGATGATAACCCTTGATAGATAGTATGTCTTGACCTTATGAGGTATAGGTATATAACATGACACAAGAGGAAAGTTGTAGCTAGTAGAAGTAGTTGTAGTAGCAACAACCACTGCATTCTCATAATATTTAACAGAAGATTGAATAATTAATCCTTTGAATAATCGGGATGTCTAGACCCCCGACAATGATGTGATGACATGATAATTGATGATATCATCAGCTTGTCCTTTCCGCACATGACCTTAAAGAAAAGCCCTTCCGTAGCATCAAAACGAACCACAATACCCGCCCACTAATAGTTGCGTAAAGCGAAAGCAGCGCACATTGGGGAATATGAGCTTTTTAAAGAAACCCCAGGATTGATTGACTGATTGGTTGTACGCATGCATCACTGGCGGGATCATCTCGTCAAAAAGTTTCCATGTACACCACTAAAGACCCATGGTTTCTCCCATATGTAACAACTAAGGATATGATGATAGCGAACCAAGCACACAAAAGCAATGAGCATCAAGTAGTAGCACGTAGCAAGACAACAAAACAGAACAAAAGAGTTGACAGATAGCCGCCCCAGAACCATGCCACCCAAAACCGTCCCATTGCTCATAATCGCATGAAAAAGAACAGAAAACCAATCCACACTCGCGCAAATCAGGAACCCTCCAAACAGCAAAAACACGGAATAAATCCCAGAAAACCCCCCAGGGTACTACCCGCGAACAGGCTAATAAAGATATAAAGAGAAAAGAAGGTATTTTGATCGACATCGTATCATCGTAGGGGTAACAGAAGCAGCAGCAACAAGGAAAAAGCCACCCATGTCTCCTCTAAGAGCGTTTTCCCACCCGGGTATTCATCCACAGCGTATATGCATAGTCTATTCCCAAATTGCCGCCCTTCTGGAAAACAATAGAAAATAAAATTCGTACGGAAGAAAATAAAGAGGGGGGTATGAGAAGTAAAGATAAAGCGAGGGTAAAACCACAAATCATGGTCGCTGAAGAATTTAGAGTCATATCTGAGGCTGCGCTGGAGCAGCCGCCGCTGCCCATGTCGACACGGGGTAATTGGCATGAGCTGCCGGAGCGGTAGCGCTCACGTAGTACGGATGCCGGTCTGCGCCTGGATAATAAGGCGCATGCATCGGGTTCGACTCCCGGCGCGGGATGCCTGGGTCAAACGCAGCCATGCCACGCTGTTCAAGTGGTTGATGCGGTCCATCTAGCGGGCCCAGGCTGAAGCTTCCTCCCCGTGAATATGTGGCCGGCGTTGCTGGGTCGATGGGCGAGGTGGCGTCGGTCGCAACGCTGCGTGAGGATATTGACGAGTTGCGATAGGCAGAAGGGCTGTGATCCGACTGGGATCGGTTGCGATCGCTCAAGGAACTTGGAATGCCCGTGTTGAGTGTAGAAGGAATCGACGACGACAGAGCACTGTGACCCAGAGCATCAAAGCTCGTTCCATACTGAGTGGGTGTCCGGAATTGGGAATAGTCGTCTGGCTTCTGCGGGATTTGGGTAGGTGCAGACGGCGCGGGAAGATAGGGATTGGAAGCCGACTGCGCCGAAATCGACCCTGCCATCGAGTATCCCGGGATTGCCGCAGTCTGCGGAGCATGCGTGGCAGCGTACGGCGCGGGGTGCATGTAAAATTCGGGATGAGGGTTGGGAATCGCATACCCGGGCGGTGCTACCAACTGAGGTCGGTATCCGTATATCGCATGGGGGTCGTTCGGGTTCTCTAAGGATCCTGATTCCAAGTCATCGATGGGGGCCCGGAAGCTTTGCTTCTGCGTCAGCTCTGCACGAGGCCGTATGTATCGCAGCGAGTCGACCATCGATGGCGGGTTCAGCAGCCCACGCATCACGTCCTCCACGCTGTAATACGAGACCAGGTGGTGTGTCACCCCCGAAACCGTCACACTCATCGTCTTCTTCACGAGTCCCGAATCTTTGAAGCCATACGAGTCCACCAGCGAGCCTACCAACGCTCTCTCCACGTCCAACTGGTGTGGTCGGTCTCCAGCATACTGACCGGGTGTCGAGGACGGCGAATAACCGCCGTTGCTGTCCTGTCGCGGATACGGCTCCCCAGGTCTTGTGGAAGGCACCGGGCGTCGATTGGCCTTCTTCATCGCTCGCTTCTTTTCGCCGGGGGGAAACGGCTTCTCCAGTTCGCGGTAGACGAGAAAGTTGCCCAGGATTCGACTGGGACTCCAGGTCACTCCATCCGTCCATCGCTTAATTCCCGACGAATTCTCCTCGTAGATGAACACACTGCCACTGCGGACCAGGTGACCACGTTCGCGATCGTGAGGCCGACGGGGCACATGGTGCAGCACTCCCGTCAGACAGGCCTCGAAGAGAATCAGCGCATCCTGTGTTGTCGCGACATATCCCGTGAAGGTGGGCTCCAACACCGTAGCGGTGCCGTTGACCATTGTTTTGCGTTTGTTTGTAGGTTCGAACCTAGTTGAAAGGGGGGCAAAGAGGTAGTATCAATCAAGGTTAACACCACCGTTGATCAAGGTTTCCCAGTAACTCGGCTAGACGGATTGGCCAGGGTGACACTGGGGTTTCGATACCAAGCAGAGGAGGAATAGCAGTGAATGGGATCAAAACAATCCCGCCTGACAGGCTGTCAGAATTTCTTTCTTTGTTGTTCGGCCGTTGCAGCAAAAGCCAGGACGATGTCCCGAGCTAAAAAATGAATGGGAGGGGGGAGGGAGGGAGGGGGATGAAGGGAGTGAATTGGGGGGGAACTCCAGAAAAGCAGGGAGGGGGAGGCAAATAACCTTTAGGAGAGACGAGGAGTGGGAACCTCTGGTGCGAAGGTGAGAGAATGACAAGTCGAGAGAGCTGACGGTGATGGTTGAACCGTAGAAGAGGGCCGATGGCGCGAGTTTAAAGCGCCCCCCTCCTTCTGAGTTTAAGGGCTACTACCAGACTTGGGCGAGCCGGATCGACAGCGAGCACGGGCCCGTCCTTTTTCCCAAATCCTCGCACAGGGAAAGGGTTGGATCTGGAGAGCAGCGTCTGGCCCTAGTGCAGCTGGGTCGACTGGAGCTCCGGTTCCACGGATAGCGATCGGATCGAGGTAGGTTGTGTCTCCAACCAAACCAGCTGCGGGAATTCCCAAGCTTTCTGCTCGCAAGGAGAAACCCGTTTTGACAGGGAGTTTAAATACCCTGGGCCCGGGAGTTTCTCTTCAACCCAAAAGGCTGTTGCTGATGCTGCTGCGCAAGACGATGCGGGAATCGGGACTTGTTGGATGGGCAACAATCCACTGCGCGAGAAGCGATAGTGAGGGAAAGAGAGAGAGAGAGAGACCAGCTCAGCTTACGCCGTATGAGCTGTTCGGTGCCTGTTTCGGAGCAGGTATGTAAGCCGATTTATCCACTTTGGAGCTTCACGTAAAGCCACCCGGGCCATGCGAGAAACGAAGTGCGATGAATTTCCAAAGGCAAGTAGAGACCAGGAATGTTTCAAAAGTGAATGGGGGAGTTGCTTGAAGGGAAGGAGTGTGGTGGACTCGGAAGACAAGAGGGGACAATAGTTGACCTTAAACATCCGTGGAACGAGACGGGGAAAGAGGCAGATAGAAATAAATCAGAAAAGGGAAAATCAGGAATATAATAATTTAGGGAACAAGAAAAAAAAAAGGGAAGAAAAAAAATAAAATAAAATAAAAAAGTGAAGAGGGAGGAAAAAAAAAAAAAGAAAAAAAAAAAAAGGGAACAAAAAATAAAATAAAAAAATTGGGAAAAATAAAATAAGAGCAAAAAAAAAAAAAGAAAAAAGGAATGCAATCCCATCCCAATGGAAGTTATGAAATAGTTGTATGGGGGGAAGAGCAGCAGTGCCAAAAAAATAAAAAAATGAAAAAAATAACGCCAAAAAATCATCCCAATTCCCAGAACATTGGCAGGGTACCCATGTATGGTATTGTAAAAGGCATCGCGTTTTTTTACCCTTTCCTCTCTCTCTCTCACCTTTCCCTTCCAGAAAATAGGGAAACTGTCTTGGGGAGAGAGAAAGTAGAGATAAAAAAAATTCATCGCAAACAGTATGAAAAGACCATTAACATAAGAAAATAATTATCTATCTTTTTCTTTTCTTTTTTGAAGAAAAACCAAGAGAGAAATTTAGTGAAAAATAAGGGAAAAGAAAAGAGGCGGTCCTCTTTCCCCCCTCCCCCTTCCTGGTGATCAGGTAAAACCAGGGAAGGGAAGGAAAAATACCATGGCCTGCGATGAATGGGCGGAAAGGCCAGTCCAACTAGACCAGAGCCGGGCATAGTGCGGGTTGCAGGGAACGCCAAACGGCCAGGCAGACGGAGGGAAGGACATGCTCAGCGAGGAAAAAACACATCCTCCGTCATGAAGAGCGACCGGGCTGCAGGCGGGGCGACCCAGACTGGTAGGCCCGAGCAGTGCCAGATGGGGAGGAGGAGGGGGGGGGGGGGGGGGGGGGGGGGGGGGGGGGGGGGGGGGGGGGGGGGGGGGGGGGGGGGGGGGGGGGGGGGGGAAGAGGGAGAGAGGGAGAGGCAGAAATTGGGAAGGACGGATGGGGTGTGGGTGCAACTAGTGATCCCAAGGAGCAGGACGAGCCCGCCAGAAGCACCGCCGCCGGTGGATCTCTCCGGCCATGAGGCAGAGGCCATCGGCGGGCTCCATCTTTCATTCCTTTCGCCAAACCCGAAGAAGGGCTGAGCAGCAGAAAGATACGCACACCACACCACACGCACACATCTCCTGCTTCAACACTCCTTGGGGAGGCAACATTGAAAGACAGACAGCAAGAATGGGCTAGTGTGGGTATGGGGCGGAAAACAAAAATAAAACAAAAATAAAACAAAAAAATAAGTATAGAAATAGAAATAAAAATAGAAGGTAAGAACAAAACACGAAGGTGAAATAAAATACAGAAGGGGTATCAACCAGATCCACCGGAAAATCCAGTTGATGCAAATTGCAGATCCAGTCGAATGGTAGTTTTAGTTAAGCATAAGAAAAGCGTATGACACAAGATAGGCATGGGAACTAGGATCGAGGAGGAACAGGGGGAAATTGAGATGACCCAAACACCCACCACCAAACCACATTGGTAGTCATGGATGTCTACGGATCAATCTCGCAGGGAAGAAAATAAGAACAGCAAATCGACAGAAAACTGGAGAGAGCATCATAATACAGTAGTAGGATGTATGTGTTGGCAGGGTGTATGTGGTATTGTGATAATGATCCAATCCTGGTTCATACTTCCCATGGAGCGACAGACAAGAGAGCAACTTACTGGTAGTACTGAAGAAAGTGTGAATCCACGCTGGCGGGGATGATGAGAAGCAGGTACCCCGTTTCACTTTGCTGGGGTTGGTTTGGTTTTGGGTTGCTGGTAACTACTAAAAGTAGGTCCCAACCTTAGCCGTGGCAGTGGAGTGACGTTGACTTTATCGTCCTGGTTGCACACACACACACTCAACTCAACTTGAACTGCGTCGTCTTTCTTAGTCCACGGTGTCTTCTGCTGCTGCTGCTGTCAACGTTTTTTAACTTGCGGCTCTTTCACTTGCTTTCCCTCCAGATAGTGCGTAAACTTTGGGAAATGAATGACCAAGATAAAATCCTCCAAATGACGCCAATGCAGGGAAATAATCAGTAGTGGGGAACAAGTCATGTAACAATCCGAGATTCAAGACGAGAAGAGTAGGGAGATTTTAAGATTTAGGTAGAACAAGTGAAAGTCAAAATTGATGAAAGAGGGGGTGGAAGGAGGTTAATGAGGGGACGGAAGAGTGGATCGGGGGATCGCTAAGGGACCGCCAATTCGAGACGGAAACCAAAATGAGACGGACGCCCCAGGACGGTGTGGTGAATTGCAGGTACCTGGAGGATGGATAAACGGGGCATGGGATTGGAAATTATCGGGGTTATAATCGGATGAGGGGGGTTTGAGATTGGAGATGGGATGACGGATAGGCTCGGGTAAGGGACATGCAGTGCAAGTCTGGGGTGGAAGTGGGAGGGAGCGAAAGGAGGAGGGAAGGGTGTTCAGATAGATGATAGATATAGAGAGGATACGAAGCTAATTAAGTATGCGCGAGTGTGATTTAAGTACGATGTTAGGTAGGTAGGTAGGTAAAGTAGGTAACTAACTCAGCTAGCTAAACTAGCTGGGAGATGTAGTAGGGGAGGCATGTCAGCCAAAGCCGGGGTAAAACGAACAGCTGTGGACATACAGAAGTCATCCCGGCTTAGTATATCCAACCAATTTCGAAATTCCTTGGATTGGTGATCCAATCTCCTCCTACTACTATCTATCCATTCTCCAGTCCTGGATTTATCATGGTAGATCGTATGGAGTCACTACCACTAGCTAGTAAAGAAAAGCAGCGGTGCACCAATAACTAGACGTCTATCATCACTATCACCCCCGCCATAGCCCTGAGAGGGAACGAGCGAGAAAGAACCACGATTAACGAGGGATATTAATGCCATCATATATCTACTTAGTACGGGAGGGATTTTCGGTTGGGAGAGAAGGATTCAACGAGGGGAGGGGGAGGCTGTGTCAGTTAGGCGTGAGCCGCCGGGGCCTACTTACTTACCTACGCCTCTTTTGGGAGGGGAAAAACAGGAGGCGGGAAATAAATAACTCGAGGGGAGGACAGACGCCCCATGAGGGATGGGATCAGAGCTACTAACTAAATAACTAACTAACTACATCTGAGCGTGTATTCCTGGCGGCTCAATTACCGTGCACGGTCGGGATGACCATCCCATCCCACCGCCTCGATGCCTGAACCACTCAATGGAGGAGGTTGAGGAAGAGGAGGGAGGAGGCGGAGCGCTATGAAGTGTTGTCAAGATATCCACCGGGTGGTCATTACAGTGGCCATCATCCTATAGCGGAGAAGGGGGGGAGAGGGAATGGATTCAGGAATGTTGCGGGCGATTAACTGGTTGACTGATTGATTTCTTCTCTAGCATCGACGATGGTTGAGGAATCTTATCGGGTCGTCTGCCATTCTCCGCATTCTTTTGTAACTGTTTACTCACGAGTACCTGCCAATTGGCAAGAACGTCATATGAAACCCCCCTAATCATGTTTTGTGTTATGTATTATTGATTCTCGTCCCTTCTTCTTGTTTCCTCCTGATCATAAGTAGTAAGTAGAACCATGAACCCATCTCATCCCATGATGCGCTCTCTCTCCCTCCTACCCACAAAACCCCAACTCCATCAACCATTCTCTCTCCCCATCGGAACTGAACTGATTGAGGGGTTGGCTGCAGCGGTGGGGCACGAGCAGTCATCCAACCACGGCTCCGCCCCTGACGAAAAGAGAGTCGATTTGATTTGATGTGCACCGGTCAAGTCATTGATCGGGAGGCCCAGAAAAAAAAGTCAAGAATCCACTTTTGCCTTTTTCGGGCAGAGTCGATCGACCGGCTCTTTGGTAACTAACTAACTAACTATCTCTACTTGCTGTACTCTGTATTATCTAAGTAAAGTGGTAAAGTAACTGGTGTATGTATATGTACTGGGGTGTTTTCTATAGCAGACAGTGGTATTAACATGGTATACTAACTACTATCACTACATAGTTGTATGCACACACACACCACACACAAACACTGAACCAGATTGGCAGCAGTAGAAGAGAAAAGAAGTGTTATGTAAAAGTGGATGGCAGTAAGTAGGGTCGGACATTCTTCTTGTTCCTCTCCTCTTCCATGGACTTGTTTCTGCATTATTAAATCATCACCCATTTTCACATCGTCATCGAGCAGCTGCCATTCAGCTAGTTAACTTACCTAATGTTTCCCTAGTGGGCGATCTTTAGTAAGCCCCAGCAAAACACCACTTACATAACTACTTACATACACACATAACATACTTCCCCTCTCAATACTACCCTGCCCTCATCTATCGTCATAGTTATTAATCAAACATCAGGTTCCTGAAAAAAAAAAACTGTAAGACAACCATAATCCCAGTGACATACCTAACTTAGCTCACGGATGGAGGAAGGGGTGAGAAAGTAAAAGAAAAATAATGACCACAAAAGGACAACTCAATCAAACGGCCGCCTTCCTTCCCAGGGCTCAGATCTCGGGGGGTTGTGAGAGGACGGGTGATTATTGCATGGCGTCAAGGCGGCACCCGTTCGGATTGGTCCCAGAGAGCGAGAGAGGGTCTGGAGAAGATTTGGGACGCCCCAGCAACTTGCATCCCATTGCTACACATCGAATCGGGAATGCGCTCGACCGGCAACTGCTCCAGTCCCCCATCCTCCCTCTCACTCACTCACTCAACTCTCTCTCTGGGGCTTCCTCCGGCTGAATTTCGTGACCCTCCCCCAATCTGGCAAACGCGGTCCGAGCTCTGCGGCCCATATGCGCGCGCCTTTTCACAGTAGCTCCCCTCCTCTTCTCTTATCCTCTCCCGACTTCCCTCGGGCTCAAATCATCTAAGCCTTCGTAGTCATTATCCAGCCTACATCAGAACGTACTCCGTACATTTACAAAAAAGAAAAAAATCCGCTATGGGGTCATACTAATCTCATGATTATGATACCAAGCCAAGGACTTACCGGATGATAGAAATGGCAGGCACAAAGGAAAAGGGAGAATGGAAAAGCCGAGAGAAAGAGAAACATGGCGCGCACACACACACACATGGCAGTACAGTGGTGAATGAAAATGATCGATGACCTCGGTTGTCATCATCACCGCCCATCATCATACCCGCACTTTTAGTCGTCAACGATCCATCCCGGCCGCACCGGTGACCTATTTCCAGCCCAATAGAAACCCTCTCGACAATAAGTCGAAAAGACGACTGGTTTCGTCAGCTCCCATAGAAACATAACCAGTAGACGACAGAGCAACCCGTGGTGGCCTGTGACGAGTAGACGGAACCGCATGACGACCAGATGCCCAAGAGGAGGACTGTGCGCCGCGTCAACTTTCCTCTCTGCCAGTCTGCCTGCTTTCACTCAACAATCTCGTCGGCTCCTCCGCGTCGCTCCCGCCACTGTGGCCGGAGATCAAGAAGATGCCCGTCTACTCGTTATCCTGCTCCACGGTTGCGACTGACCACTGACGTTCATGTGCCCCGTTGATCGACTTACCGGGGGTGAAAATAGAAAGAAAAGAATTATAAATAAATAAAAATAAAACTAAATAAAACAAACCAAATAGAGAAGAAAAAGACTTAACGTGCCCATCAGCAAGGCAGCTTCGATGTCTGGGTTCGAGGTCTTCCACTGGGCCGGCCGACGGTTCCAGTCAGGCTCCGTCGGGATCCGTGCAGAAAGTCTTTGCTCCAATGTGCCAGCAGGGATCCCCCGGGGATGGTCGATCGGGATGAAAGAAGGCAGAAGCGGAGCTTTCTCTTCCTATGGTCATGATCCTCCATGACATATACCGTGCCTATGCCACGCACGCTCGAATACGAAGGGCGTGGAGACTGGTTGCAGGGAAGGGGGTGGGCAATAATAATAATCAGAATAATAAAGGAAAATCTGAGCGGAACAATAAGGAAGAGAAGCGTCCCACACGGCGGCGATCATCTTAAAGAGCCCTCAGGCCAAAGCAGCAGTAGGGGCCAGACTAGGTCGCTAGGAGAAAAACCAATAAAGCCCTGCCCAACTCTAAACATTTTAGAGTTGAATCGACTGGAATTGTCGGTAACTTTGTCAGGATTCAGGGGGGCACCGTTCCTAGAGCTTATATTGGACCGTCGCCAAAACTTTCGCGGGAGATCCCCAGAAGATCCAAAAGCCCATAGGCGACTGCTGCTGGGGCTGTGAATCTGAGCTATCTTCTCGTTGCCCGGCGAGTCCACCCACGGAAGCGCCGACAGACGCGCGAGCACGACTCTTGGACCTTTTCTTTCCCCCTACTAGCATGGTTTTGCAGCTCATCTTGGTCAACAGCAGGTGCAATTCAGGGAGGAGATCGTCCTTCTAGACCGGGTGGTAAGGGACAGGTCCGATAGTAAGGTCCCGACAAAGTGGGTGAGCAGTAGACGATCGCACCGGTGGGTGCTTGTCGAAACTCAATTCCACGCTGAAAGACCCGGGGAAGGAGGGGGGAAGATGAAAAAGCATCCATTAAGACTAGTTTTACAATAGGCTCTACCACAGTGGACGATCACACTATTCTTCGATTTACCAGGCGCGAATTGGATTTTGATCGTCAGGTAACCCTCGTTGACAGGCCGGTGGTGACTTGCTTGCTGGCTTGCTGACATTTATTCCTCCGGTGGCAGTGGTGGGCCAGCAATGACAGACCCAGTGCCAGGAAACTCTAAGTCGGTTTGCTCTGGAGCCTCAGGCACTATGTGAGTTAGTGGAGATACAGCATGATGAGGAATTGAGGCCGAGAGTAAAAAAGGGATCTTGGAGAAGTGACCTCCGGTTGTACAGCCAATCCATCCTGTACCAGGAGCTACTAGGAAGCTGCAACAGACTTGGCTTCATACAAGCCGTGCCTGCCGGCCTGCCTGCCTGTCTGACGGGATTTTGGTAGTGACCAGGAAGCCCTTACTATACCCAGAAACTCAAATGGTTACCGAGAGAGGACCCATACATATAGTATTGCATGCAGCTGCAAGAGCCACCGGGGGAAAGATCAAACTCTTGGGTGCCTGGTGCATACATGGGCCGCTGGTCAAGTGAGGATGCACCTCATGTACTACTACGACACGGTGACTGGTAACAAAAGTCTACTTGAACCAGGAAACTCCGATAAAAGTCCCTGTTAAGCCGACTCGATGATCAGCAACCCAAAGCAGGAGGCAACCCTAGAGAAATTGAAATGTTCACTTGCTGCGCTCCAGACAGACTCTCAAGCCATATGCTATGCTATGTTGGTCGTCTAGGGGTCCTGCGCCATTCATCAGCTAACTCTACAGTAGCGTCCAATCCAAGGTGCCCCAGTAGGAACTAGGAGGCATATAGCTCGGCCCATACCTACAGCTCCAGTTAGTTGGCCATCATCCCTTACTGATGGGTAACGATGCCTCGTATTCCGAACCAGCGCCCCGGGACGGGTTCGGTTAGAGAGAGCGAAGAAAAAGAAAAGTACACTGGAGCGAGAGCGGATAACCCCATAGAATGACACATCTTTAATATCAATGTCGTTAGTCGCTGGATATTTGAAGCAATTATGTCTTGGAATGCAGTTCAAAGGTAATAGCTGCATCCTAACAGGCAAAGGAGAATGGCATTGATTGCGTGGCAGATGATTCGATATGCTAAACAGGCATGTTTCTCTCCTTCCTACGTGGACGTGTGTACTGCTTCGTATCCAAGGCGAGTAGGAGGAACGAATCCGACCCGACCGGTCTGGGTCCGGTCCCAGGATCCAGTCAGTGTCCGTGCCATTTTTCTGGGCTGGCAATGCCTACTTTTTCCCCACTGAATCTGAGTCACTGGACTCCCTAGTTCTCCGTATTCCACAGTGTTAGAAAGTCCCCACGTTCTTGAGTAATAGTACTAGTACTAGTATATAGTAGATAATGTGGCCCTTGTTGCATGTCCGCTATGTATGGCTAGATTGAGCGAGAGCGAGACCAGAGGGGATTCGCACAAATAATGATAATAATAAAAAAAAAGAAAGAAAGAAAGAAAGAAAACGAAGAGACAGCGCGCTAGGTGATTTGCCCGGCTCCAGATGCATCCAGTAGCGCCACGGACGGTGAACCGTAGACCTGGGCCTGGAAATGAACGCGACCAGAGAGTGTGGTTTGGGTCATGGCTAGTTAGTTAGTTAGTTAGTTAGTTAGGTCGGTGGAAGGTCTTGCTCCGGTCCGGGAAGTTGGGTTTTTCCCCGTTTAGGTAACGCGGGCAGGCACCATGTGAATGGTGATTGGGGGACATGGGGTTCAAGGACAGGCGAATTGTCGGAGGAGAGAAGGAGGAGGAGAGGTGCTGCTAGACTACTAGTAAGTAAGTAGGTTGTTGTCTGAGCGGATCGTCCTAGCAGATAATAGTAGTAACTAGTAGAGGGTATCAAAAGTGGTACCAAACGGGAAAATGACTATCTACCCAGTCACGACTGTTACTAATAAGTATGTATTTAGTAATTATTCCTCCTTTCATACATCCTACATACAGTACAGTTATCAGGTGCTCGATTCCACGGAGACAGAGGGAGGGAGGGAGTGAGAGAAAGAGAGAAAACTGGACTAGCAGCCAAAAGGGAAGCGTCAACAGAAACAGCAGACGCGGCAGGTGGCGCTATCCTTGACATCTCGCCCACCGACCAGAAGAAGAAATGCCGCACAATGACAGGGTCGTCTGGATCTAACAGGCGATCATCGCCCCCCTCCCCAAGAATGTCGAACCAAACAGGCCAGAACGGGGAGGCGACGTAAGTAGAAAAGCAGCAGACACGAGTTTGGTCGCTGTTACCAACCACCCCCCACTAGTATCAACTAGTACTAGCCGGTACTGTATAGTAGATCATTGTAATTAAATGATGGTGGTTCCCGTTCCAAACCACAGACTGGATGGAGTCCACTGGAATACTAGAATAGAATAGCAGCAAAGAAAGACCACCACACTAACTATCCATCTACTTACATGGGTCTCTGGCTGATCAAGTACCATTCCAAGATTTGATGGAAGGGATGTCAGTGAGAAGAAGAAAATAAAGAGTTGGGGATAGGGGAAAGATTAGCATACAGTTGGTGAAATCATATCTAAGTTCATCATAAAACGAATTCAATAACTATCCAGCTTAAACTCAGCCATATTTTAAATCTCTTTCACGCGTGTGAAGAAATCATGGAGAGATGTCAGTGGCATTTCCCATCCGGGAATCAGGAATCGGAATCCATGCAGGGCACAGGATACGGTGCCTTTTTTTTCCCTCTGCACGCTTAACGCAGGTGGCCTATTCGAGTAATGGGAGGGGAGCTCCTGCTATGTGTCCTCCGTATTCCCCTACACTGGATTATACAGTAGTCAGAAGAGATAGGAAATCCTGTATGCCACCATTTCAACGATCCCAATGCACTTGATGCATGCATGAGTGACCGCAATTCCCTCTTCATTCATTTCCGCGAACGCCACTACTACGGGGCGTTTCTTTCCCCTTCATACTACTAGTACTTAACTAAGTTATACATATGCAAAAAGAAAGACAGGAAAAAAGAAGGGGACTAAGCGCCCACTTTTGCCCGTCCCTCCCGGGCGGCGACGGCGACGGCGACGGCATGTTGGCCACGCACGGTGCGCATTGCCAGACGCTTTGAGGTCTATCTGAAATGGATAACCAGCCGCGAACTGATCTGATGATAGGTTCCCAGATATGTTATCCTGCATAAGCTAGGATGCACTGTGCCACGCCTCGAGCTCGTGTAGGAATTTGATTTGATCATGGTGGCAATCCCCAAAAAGGGCGCCAATCGGCCGGGGAAAAGGACCGCATTTCAATGTTTCTCATTGGATGAGGAAGAGGGAGGGAGTGATTTTCCAGTACGGGGTGCTACAGAGCCTGAGGATGACTTCCAAATCACCCCCCCAAACAAGACTTGTCAGGTGGCTCATCATGCAGTCGACTTCCAACTGTGACGGGATCGTTTTCCATAGAGGTGTTGTTACCAATATGCCCGTCTTTGCGGGTTAAACTATTTAGGTAGGTAGATACATACTTCGACCCCTTGATCTCTCGCGATCCCCTCAACCTGGATACTGGGAACACCCACATCTCCTCCTCCCCCAGTCTCCTCCTCTCCCCTCTCACACAAGTGGCCTGTACCTACGTCGTACATCAACGAACTACTAGTCACACACATGGCCTGGTATCCACCCGACTTGCTACTTTTACTGCTAGGCTACTACTCCATCCAGCACGCTGGCTTGGCAATCATCCGAAAATCGGGAGAAGGGCATGCATCGGGTTTACGAGGTTTGGACGTGCTTTGCTGCCTTCCACCTCCGGGATAGTGAGTCTGGAGACCTCGAGCAAGTGGGAAATGATAACCAGAGGCCCTTTTCTTATGGTCTGGCGAATAAGAAGGAGGTCCATGATAATCAGTTTCGGAATGACTTCCTCTAGGCTCTAGCGAATCTCCAATTACGGCGATCGGTCGGGCGCTCCCAGGACATGGGACCTAAATCCAACGAGGGATCCACCGATGGCAATAGTTCCGGATAGCGCTTGTCCGCGCTGTTTACTTACGTCTTTCCTACGATCATCCACCATTAAAACGGGTCATGACCCAAGCCTTCATTTCTGCGTGAATGGTTCGATGCGGAGAAAAACCAGTTCTGTCAGTCACTCTTCGACCATGCTACACGAATCAATTAGACAGACTAGCCCAGCTGGGCATTTATTCTTGTTAGAAGGTCGACAACACTACTACTAGTTAACTAGCCGCTATCTCCGGCACAGGTTTAGGTAATAAACGCAGGATGGAGATCCCACGGGATACTTACTGGGTGGTACGCTTTGGCAAAGCCATCAACCGCTCACTAGTCTTCCTTAGCTCTTGACCCCTACCAGCCATTCCGATCGGGGATGCTCTCTTTGGCACAGCGGGACACACAATGCAACGCGCTTCGTCATGCGATCGATCCTGTAGGCTGTAGTGGACTGACTCGACCTCATCCACCGGGACATTGAACCCAGCAATAGAATCAGGGATAGGAGGATCAGGACCAGGACACCGTCCGTGCCCCAAAGACGAGGCAACCAAAAGGCGAGGATACAGTAGCATAATACATGACACAGTAAAGTAGCAGGTACAGTAGCAGGTACAGTAGACCCGAACCCCCACACTCCATCCCTTGTGTGCACTGCTGCTCTTCGAGGATCAGCCGGAATAATATCATCAGCATACCTATTAGAGGATGAGGAATGACTGGTCATAGGGTTGGCGACGTGACCTGTCGTGGTTTTCTTTTTCTTTCTTTTTTTTCTTTTCTTTCCTTTTCTTTTCATCACTCTTTTTTTCTGGCCGTTCGGCCGTCTTAGTTAGCCCTGCAGGATGAGGGCGACGCTAGACTAGGCCACCTGCTGGTGTCAGAAGTCTGTCCTCTGTTTCACAACCTCAGGGAAAGGGTTAATCAGGAGCTTGCTTCATGCAATACCCAGATGAGGATTGTAACACACACGCTCAGGCTGTCTTGATTGGAAAAGCCCATTGTCTGTGGGCACCAACCTGGAATGGGGGCTTTTGAGTTACGGCTGATGGATCATGGATGTCGATCAGCCATGACCATCTCTTCTTGAGGGTCTCCATCGCCCGCCATTTCTCACCATCTCCTTCCTCCCTTTCTCCTCCTCATCGTCTCGGGTCCGACGCTGCACTGTTTCCCCTAAATAACTCCGTGGTAATTTAATCCTATTGAGTCATCATCATCCACGAATCTACTAGTATCAAACTGGTCTGTTCAGAGCTCGGCAATAATCCAACAATCATGCTATTCCTTGGCATCAATACATGCAGCGTCCGCCCTCGGTAGATGTTAGATTAATTTTAATTTAGCATGTCGACTATTTTTCCAAACCATGTGGCTCATCCTCACAATTGACCGCAAAATAGCTAGGGGTAACCTGGCTTGACCAACTCCGGCGTAGTCTGGCTGAGGTTGTCCGGATGTCCAGTGAGAAGTCCTAGTCGCCCATCCGCTTGTCGCTGCTAACCACGAAGCCATGGAGATTAGTGGCTTCCAGTGATGCAGTGTTGATCCCCATAGATAGTATCGTAGTCGACGATACCCTACGAATTTAGCGCTATCCTTTAGGCACATCACAATCGTCGAATTAATTTTCCAAAAATGTTCCCTCCCCTACTAAGTAACTACTAAGGGACCCCAGCCGCGCACATGGAAGAGGACCCAGTATTCAGTCGGAAGGACTAGTCCTGCTCTTACTAGTCGCTCACCCTCTGGCCCATTCATGCCACTTCTCACACCGCAACCAATATCGCCTTCAGTTTGGGTCGTCATTCTATGGTAGCGGTGTTATTGCTTTTGCCCGTCTGCATGTACCCCATTCCGATAAGGCAGTATCTACTTAGTCGGTCGCACAGTCTTTCATCCCTAGATGCTTTTGAGCAAGCTTCTAGATCTCTTTCTAGGCACCAAGCCGCCCCCTTGCTTGTCAAAACTCATTTTCTTTTTCTTTCAGCCTTCTTCCTTTCTTTTCTTTTTTTTCTCTTTAATTTCTTGTGAATTTTCAGTAGATCTTCCCATTTTGAATAATTTTCCTCCCTTCAGGCTCTCAATATGACTTGCTGGTTCTTCCTGCCGGCTCATTCCCATCGCAGCCCACACGTTGATTCTTAACGAAAACTGCATTGCTCGGACGCCTTGTCAGCCACGCTTTTGGGTCGATGGGTGGAGGGGAACGAAGTGGATCATCACCATCTACTTACTACTACTTACTACTGCCAGCGCAAGTGCCAAGTACTTCGATCCAATTCCTTCTCTTTACACCGCGACACCACCACTACATACTAGTAGTAATTACATCTCTAGCCTTGTTCATGGTTGCCGTAATGTGCCTTTGCCCCCTTCATCCCGCCTTTTTCCACTCCCTCAAAACTATGCAACTAGACCAGGTACACCCATCCCTAATAGTCACTAGCCCGGTTATAGTAATCAGTAATATAGCTAGCCACCTGCGAATTCCCCCACAGTCTAGCCAGGGATCCAGATCCCGACCACCACTCAGTTTAGCAGCACCACCACCATGCCAGAAAAAACGTGGCTCGGGGCCATCGGCGCGTGTCTTAAAATTTTTTTTATTACTTTTGCGGAAATTTCTGCGACAGCTTCGAGACATCACTCCTTTTCCGTTCATTCATCAGCCTCGTCCTATGACGATTTCGAAGAATTTCCTTCCTAGACCTACCTACGTTAGTAGAAAAAGATGAAAATTAGTAGTTTAGTTCGGAGCCAAGTTACCTACCTCGTTTTCATCGCTTATCCCTCATTTCAGCTCCTTTCCCTTCTCTTGCCCCCTTTCCCCCCTGTTATTGAGGTCATACTTGGCGCGCCAACCTCGCTGACGGGTTGCCATTCTTGCTGGGGCCGGTTCGTTACTGATGGCCGGCCGGTCCGATTTCAGTCCCTGGCGTTTTTTTTCTTAGTTTGAGGGGTTTTGCTCGGGACACTAAACTAGACTACTATCTAGGCAGACAGGCATGTGGTTAGTTACTTTTTAGTTTAGTGTGCTTCAAGTTTCTAGTAATGCTTTCCTTGTTCTTATTTCCGAGGTTTTACTATACTAGTATAGACAGGGTATACACATTAACTCCCATTCCCACTCCCACTCCCGTACCGATCTTGAGTAAGTAGATGGGGGTTTTGTACAACTTACCCAGGTAGACACCCTGTCCTTATGCATACTTACTTTCCTGTTCTACCTACTTTGTGTAGTACTTAAGATGTCCGTATCATGTATATGTACCCACGGCGTACTCCGCCGCCGTCCATGTGTCCGTTTACCATCCAATCAGGTCTACACTTGCCATGCACAACGATATCATACCACAGGACGGACAAGACGTTGCCGCTTGCGTAGGTACTTACCTTGTCCTACTACATCTTGTTACATATTTTTTTGCCTTCTTTTTTTCCCTTTGCCCCAGTGGATTCATGCTGACTAGTTACTAAGTAGACAGTATGAAAATAGCAGCAGCATCCATGTTGTAAACAGTAGACTAAATAAAAACAAAAAGAAAAAAACAAAAGAAAAAGTCTGGGAATCAGATTCCTAGCGCAACGCCACTAGTTCCAGAATATCCGAACCTCTACATCCGATAAGGGGGCGGCTTTTCTTACCCTCTCTCTCTCTCTCTCATTCCTTTTTCCTTAGACGCGGCAGCGGCAGCGAGCGGCAACATCGTCATCGCGGCTTTTTTTCACTTCAGTGATTAATAACAATATTAACAGCATGTATTATTAGGTGAACGACTAGACTAGCTAGACGGGTTCTAAGTCCGCAATTTTTTCTTTTTTTTTTTTTTCCTCTTAATTTAGCGTCTGAGCCACTGGTTCTTTGCGTCTCTGGTTGCGGACTAGTTCGGGGCGCTGCTAAATGTAGATCGACATGGTATGTTTGGGGATTTGTTTCACTCTGTATCTAGCACTAGATACGGAGTGCGGAAGGCCGGCTAACTAACTAGTTGCTAAGCAGTTAATTATTCAGTTAGTTGGTTGGTTAGTTATTATTATTATGATTAGTATTTCGTCGGGCGCGCGGGGCAGGATGTTGAATCTTGTGATTTGGATGACGATGATGCTGGTGGTGGTGTGGTGGTCTTCACCGTAATTTGTTATTTCACTTCGTTGTGGTGTCTATCCTTCCCCCTGTCGGGTTATCTATCCATCTATATGTTTATCGAAGGATCTGATATGGATGTCATAATCTTTACAAGAAAAACAAAAAGTCACCTATTTAGATAAAAGATTAAGTCTACTATCTTTACTTCTTAACTAAATACGGAGGAGTTCTAATCCTTTAAGCTTTGAAACGGACACTTAAGCAATGCTCAACAGACCAATTGCCCAGTTAGGCAGGTACTATATGTATTACACCGTACAGTAAGTAGTAGTTATCACCGAGTACCGCGGCTCTCCTGATCACTTACTTACAATACAACCTACAAGATAACTAATTACTGTTTGTCTAGTTATTCAGACAACGAACTGACTAACTTACACCTAGCATACATCACTACTTCTCGCCTGCCAAGTGCCAACACTCTTCTTGCCCCGCTCGCTCGCATCTGCAGATGATGGCGAGAGAGAGACAGGAAGAGGAGGCTCAGCTGAAGAATCCTTCGCACTTCTTTTTCGGATCTTCTGACATGCTCATACTTATCTTGGAAATGCATCCTGCAGATACTAACTGGACTGCTTAGCATCTCGGGTGCGGATTTCGGGAGGGAGAAAATAAGAGAGGACGAAGACTCCTGCCTGGTACAGTATGGTGCAGAATTCCCAGTTTCGTCTACTGAGTCAGATATTGTTGTTGTATCGTGTGGCTAATGGCTTGCTTTGTCAATAGTTTAGTTATCTACCTGCCTTCCTTGGTTCTGGTGGATATCTGCCGATAGTGGTTACATATGTGGGTTGGATAGCTACCACCACTTACTAGTCCGTGACCAACATATCCAGGACCACCTTTGACGCAAACATGATCAATCCATTCTACCTACGTACTATTCCAATGGGAACACAGACAAGACAAAAGACGGCAGGCAACACACAGACAATTCTTCCCAAAATTCTGCTACACATGTATACCAGATGCACGGACATTCTTCGGCTATCACTACAGTGCTTACACAGCCGGCTATAGGAAGCGGCAACCAAAGTCAGGTTTCACGGCTTTCTTCGGTAATAAGGTGCAGTCGACAGACGGTAGCTATGCATATGGTATGCAAGATGCCCAGCTAAGCGAGGTCAATAACTACTTGCCTACATTTTGTCAGGTGTTTTTATCGCTGTGAAGAATACTAGATAGCGTGCTAATGAAAAAACAGCAATGCAAGGGGTAAAGTCGGTAAGTTAACCCCAGCCGGGATATGATCGGGATCTTCAAATATTTTCTACTTTCCCAGTTTTTTACTTTTCGAGGGGGGTGGCGGGTTTCTTCAGACCCGAGACAGGGTGGGTGGGGAGGGGAGATGGAGATCGGACATATCATCTACTCTACCTTCTACTTACTTACCTCAGGATTGTTACTGGGTGGTGAAGTTATGCGCTGACGAATTAAGAAGTGACAGTTGGTTTACTTGGTATAGGTCGTCTAGATCTACACTGCAAAGAGCTTTCAACCCTTGCCTTACCTGCCAAGGTAGATTAGGTATAGATGGGTAGATCTGGTTGCGTTGCCTGTGTGGATACCCAACCCGATCGATCCATCATCCACCCATGAGATCAGATCGCATCGTCTGTTACTATGCACGTACTGCATACTATGTGCGTATGTGTCTGTGTGTGCATACCTACCTACGGAGTACACGGAGACACGGTAGAGCCGTTTTCTTTCTTTCCCCATGGGTAAAAACTGCAAGGTTCTTCTTTCACTTTCCGTTCCATATTCCTCCTTTTCTTAACCCGATACTAAGTATGTGTTAGGTCTTAAGTTACGTATACCCTATTCATCTTACCTTCCTAGTAATCACCTAGTGTCTACTAGTTACACTTTCCCCTCCCCCGATCACCATGTACATGCCGGGGAAGCATCCGTGGAATGTACATATTTCCCAACCTAAGTAGTAACTTAAGTAAAATCGTGTATCTGCCATCTGTCGGCATTTCCCCCATATCAAGAATGTGAATGTAAACGTGTGTGCCTGATGGCTGTGTCAATCACATGGCAAGTAAAGTTTAGGACCTTACACTTTCTTTTCCTTTTTGTCATTTTCTTACCGCACAGACAGACCTGGCATGATGGCTGATGACATCCTGCTATGTTGGGCAGGTAAGCATGAGGAATGTGGCTGAGTGCTGTTCTGTGCTGCGCTCGTGCTGGGATTTGCTTTGCCACAGACTCCCGTAGAGTTCTGGACTATTGCCTATGGAGCTATTTTACCTTGCTTACATACAGTAAATAGAACAGTACAGAGAAGACCAATTTAGGAAATGAAAGGATTAGGATACCCTTGCTGGAAGGAATATGTTGTGTCATCTTCAGCATTTGAATGAATGAATGATTGATAGATCATCGGGGCTTTTCTGCATAGGGGCATGTTGTGTGAGTATCAACACGAGGTGTTTGTGTTTGTGTTTGTGTTTGTGTCACTGGTAATACTGGTTTTGGGAGAAGACAGAGAACGGGAAGGGTATGTAAGGTGCAGTGTATAGATTGAAATTAAGGGGAGGGATGTATGGGTGAAGTAGAGTTTGTCTCTTCCGTGTGAACTGCGTCGGATATCTTTTCCTGGCGCTGTGGGCGTCGGTCTGTGTATAAGCTAGGGAGGTGTAAGTGGTGGTCTATACTAGCATTACCCTATGTAGATGTGTATGAGATTTTGCCCCGAAAGTGGTGATCTTGTCTGATGGTAGTAGTTACTTGGGTGTCTATGTATGTATATGTGTAGCATATTTAGTATAGATATTGTGGAATATTATGTATAGGACTTGCTTGCTTGCTTGTTTGTTTGTGTAGGGTGAAAATGTTACTTTACTACCATCGCCTTGATTGTATTGCATCACAATTATCCCATCAAATATAGAGCAACCAACCCATAACCAAGAACGCATAGATACCCGACTATAACACAATCAAGCCTCTTACGAGTTGAACTAAAGTCCAGACCTATTGCTCCTTTTCCAGAGACTCAATATGTCTCAGAAACCAACCTACCCTACTACCACTATCCTAGCCCACCTGACCTCAGTATCTGAAACAAACGCGTACTCCCAAGAAATGATCTGATTCTGATCTGATCTGATCTATAAACGGTTAAACTTCATTGCGAGAGTACAAGCCATCAACCATTCCACACATTTTTACACAGTCACACACTAATATCCAAGACATATACGACTCATTTTCAATAGTGAGGGCAGATGTCTCAGCCATCACTACGCCGACCAGTATATTCATGGACACGACGATGGACATTAACAAAGTGAAAAGAAACCAGAAACGAGGCTATCAATAACTTGTGTCCTACTGCCATTGGCCGGTAAACCGTGTTGGTTTGCTTGTGGCGGATTTGCTACGTCAGTGATAGTGCTGCTGCTGGTGGTTGTTGAGTGGTTAGAGGTAAAGGTCCAGACCCTACGCGGAGGTCTGGTGGGCGGAATCGAAATTGATAAACTGATAAACTGCTCTTATGTGGCACGTTGGGCATTGCTATATTTCCTAATAGTACGGTTTCAGCTTCGTGGACCGGGTGTGTGGGTTATAGCTTGGCTTGTGGTTTCTGTTGTGTTGCTGTGTTTCCTTTAGATAGGGAGCTTGGGGTTGTGTGTCATGGGCGATAAACGATGAGACTCAAGCTCTCTTGCTTGGTGAGAGAATGGGAACAGATTATTTGTGATGGAGTGCTCGTTGGGTTGTGATAAGGGGGTTCTGTGTAACGTGCTGTTTGAGATGTATATACTTGCTCGCTATTAATGATATTTGGTGGGACGCAGTGTGGAGGCAGATATTAGGGGATTGATAGGGATGATAGTGATAGACCTTTGATGGTAGCAGGAAGTAGTGAGCTGCATCTAATCATAACATGTAATTAAATATGATGGGAGTACGTTATATGCATGGCTAGAAAACTCAAGAGAAAGGCTGGTTGTGGTGCAAGATAGAGTATCAAAGTAGGCGATATTTGCTACGGCTTGGTTTAACTGAATCGGCACATGGTGTGATATTAAGCTAGATCTGGCATGTCAGAACCAGTTCAAACCATCATGTCTGTCTCTCAATGGAAATTAGGAGTCATTTGTTAGCGGGATACCTGGCGATGCATGGAAACACTGGATATAATCCCGACGTATAAAGCTCCTTGTGATACAGTATCTGAGTCACGTTCGATGAATATTTCAACTGGATAACAGTTCGGTGAAGTTCTCAGATGTGAGTGCCGAAGCCATGCACTTGTCTTGCCAGATCTGTCCCAGTATAGGCTGACCAGCGTGCGACAGCATTCTTAATAGCCCAAAGTTCAGCATATACCATCTCTCCTTGTATCCTAGGCTCCCATTTATCGCCCTAAAGCCGAGAAATACAGCGAAGATGTATTATGGGCACCGACACACCCAAAGATCCGCTTCTGTGTTGTGCAAATCGACCGCTTAAAAGGGAGCTAGATCTCAGTTCGTTACTTCTGGGACGAGGCGAAAGCGATTGACGGCTTTCAGTGTCCGGTTGATTTGACAAACGTTTTGTATGTTCGAACGGACCGGAGCAAGTCTGGAGGTGACACTCAAAACCTAGCATTTTGAAGTGCTGAAAGCAATAGTTGTGTTAGTGAATTAGCTTCAGATAGTTGCAGGATTTCCTGTAGTTGCAGAGAACATAGCTCTCAGGATAAAGGAACTAAGCTCACTTCATTAAATAGGCTCTTACTTCACCTATAGAGCCGCAGGCAGATGGTAGATGGTGCTGAGCAAGCGGAGTCATTGACAGACCCCATTTTTGAGCTGTATCTCTCCTTCCACTCTGTAGAGGCCTCTTTTGATATCGGATTCGGTTATCTGAGGCTTGCTTGTATAGGAAGGGTAATCGGTGCATCAAATATCGGGATGGTGATCCACCGGTGATCCCCCAACAAATTATGGACGCTTCTCGAGGCAGACCGAGAGAGCTGTGACACAGACTCTTATCATCCCGACTCGCGTGAGACAAGGTGCCATCATGAAAATCGAACGATCCAGTTAGTGGTGCCAAGGGGTCATTCATTCGATGTAGACGCTGGCATCAGACAGTAGGTCCGGGAAGTATGAGCTCTAGGATAAAGGGTTTCAAGTAAAGAAGCCTGGTGTGTTTGCAAGATACCTGCTGCTCGGTGAAAAGGGTGAGTTCTGAGGGTGACAGCGAAGGAGTTCGACTAGTTAGCGGGTGACATCCCGATCCCGCTCCTCTCCTCTTCGCGTCTTCGCATACGTCTAACATCTTGGCCTGGGTCCAGACAGCTACGGAAATAGCAAAGCGTAAACTTGACTATTCTATTGATGTCTCTGAATAAGATGAATACTACGATCGGGCCCAGCAGATATGGTTTATACGAGCTCGGCTCACTGCAACAGGGGCCATCTACCGTCTATTCCGGTCCCAATTGAGGAGATCGATGCGAACGCTGGATCTTTCAGTCTACGAATGTCCGCAAGCGATGCGGGTATTAGGATACTAATGGGCTCCTTGAGCTCTTTCCAGATAGTCAAGCCGACAAAGTTGAATATCAAGTGGGGGATCCAGCGGTAGAAGCACTACCAGGGGCAGTTCGTGACACCTCGTTCATCAGCCACTGTCGCCTCCCCACAATTTGCTTCTCCCCCTCTTTCCATTTGACTCACTTCATTAATCTATTTCTCTGCATATATATAGCACGGCACTCGTTGTCAATCTATTAACAGGCACCCCGTTTTCGGTCCAGAAAGTTTCCTACGAGCTGCACCAAAGCTTGTGCGATCTATTAGCATCTTCCGTTTACGAGTTGCATATTCTGGCTCTGTTCAAACCCATAATCGTATACAGGTTACTTTTTGAGCTTGAAGTGAGCCATGCTTCCAGCATACGCCGTTCTCATCATCGCATTTCCTATACTGGCAATGTCAGACACATGGGTGACGTCGTCAACGACGAAGACGGTGGTCACAACAGTCACAGACACATATGTTCAAGTCTTTGAGGAAAACGTCGTGTTTTACAGCAGCATCTTCAGTTTTCTCGCGGGAAGCATTGTGGATGTGGATACCGTGGAGGACCTGACTACTATCGGGACCAACTGCATCCAGAGCCTGCTCGCTAACTGCTCGATGGAATCTGTCAGCTTTCCTCCCACATTTACCATGGGCCCTTCGACATACATACACAGCTCAAGCGGCACCGAACAAAACTCTCAGAAGTACACTATCGGTATCGATTCAAAGGCCTGCAGAATCTTTTCTTCGACACAAAGCGCATCCTGCAAGCTCTATGCGAGCTACTGGTACTCTGACTCCATAACGAGCACGTCCCAAGATATAACGCGCACTACAGCCTTGAAGTCAGCAGAAATCAAGTACCACAGCTTGTGGATTACGGCGGGTGCTGAGAAACTTTCAGCACCAGTGACAACAACGCGGACCCAAAATAGGACTGCCGTCCCCACTGCTACTGCTTTGACCTCTACAACAGTCGCTGTCTCTTCGCCTAGCCCAGCTCCAGAGATTCATTCCTCAAAAACGTGGATTGCCGGACCAATTGTGGGAGCCATTGCTGGATGCGGCCTAATAGCAGCTGTAGTATACTGCTGTCTCAGGCGGAAAAGACAGATAGTGCCATCAGTTGCTCCTGGGCCGGCGATTCAGGACCCTTCAGAGGAGATTAGTGCACTCAGTAGCCCTGTTAAGTCTCCATACAAGGCAGGTATTCCAGCAGAAACTCAGGGAACTCCTGTATCTGAACTTCCAGCGGATGAGCCTTCATGGAACCGACATACTATCTAGCTTTTCTCGAGGCTTTTGAGAAGAGCAATGGACAGTGCAGCGGGGCAGAGTCGCACTCAACAGCCCTATCATTCCGAGGATACGTCGAGCCTGGTGATGTGGCCCCAGTATGGGCAGGTACTGTGGAGAATATGCAAGATCACCGACGATGGTGTGGGTCGTTACCTATATCTAATAATTTTAGATTGATACAATTTAGGTGCCAACTTCTACCGGGAAATGTTCCTAGTATGATATTGTACAGTACCATAGCTGGACTATTTAGGCCACTCCACAACACTTACCTTCTCTATTTTTCTCCATGCTATGATTACTGCCATTCAAACTTGCTATCATGAACTGTTTCGCTCATGGCAACTCCAGTCTGCCATGGCTATATATAGTCACATGACCTCGGAGGAACCAAAACTCCGCCGGCATTTTCTCCCATCGCGAGTCTCGACCGAGGTCTATACTCTCCTTCTCTTCCCCTTTCGCTTCCTGTCGAACATCCGGTCCTTCTCGCGCTTCATTGCCTCGTGTCACCCATCGTCCGGCGTCGTGGATGGCAATTATTCCGTCAGTTGGATAAATCGCCGCCTGACCCGAGACTCACATGCCCAGGAGTCTCGCGGAAGCCGGATAATCTGGCCGTTCAGACAGTAGTATACTTCGTTCATTCCAGTCTTGAACAGTTTCGGATCCTTGGTTTCAAGCGACGCCATTGAGTGTTGGTTGCAGGGCTTGTCCTTTCGTTTCCACGATCTCGCTTTCTCTTCTTCCGGCTACTTTTCTCCTATGTCACGTGGTCATAAGGTCAGAACGTTAGATATTGTTCTCTGACATGACTACGTTTGTCATTTGCTAGTATTTGGCCCCAATTGAATCGCATCGACTTGCTTTATTCTATCTACTGGGCTTCCGGAAAGCATTGCCTGTTCGAAACTATCCGCCAAAATTATATCCAGCTATATCTGAGCAATACCGCGTGGGCATCATCCGGATCTTTCCACTATCTACCGACTTACGGGCTTCATCATGGCAGCGATTGCAATGATTCCAACGCCTCTACGTGCATCCATGCAGTGCACTCGGCTGTTCACATCTCCGTTGGGGAGCGCTCCCCTTTCCCAGCGAGTATGGCAGACGTCGGTAACAGAAGCACGCAGCTTCTCAGCAATTACTTTGGGCAGTCGCTCGAGGATTCAGGCAAAGTATGATTTGACTAAGCATGGCCGTGAGGAGAAGTCGCTAAATCAAGGTCCAGCCCACTACGAAAGAAGACCAGCCTTTCTAGCGCTATAGAGTCGCAATTGGCGCGAAGTGTTGGCCAACAAAAGCGATACTCCGCACAGAAACCAACTATTCCGGACTCTTCAAGGTGAGCACTCTATCATCACGCCTGTCAGGCCGTGTAAGGCCATTTGAGGGGTGCGCTCTGTTATCAGCCCCTCCCGAATCCTAACCGTGTGATATATGTCAATCCAGCTCCAAGAAGTCCGCAATTCTCTCCAAACTGCCTCGGACACATGAGAATATTTACACCGTCCCCAATATTCTCACTTTCACCCGTCTACTTGCTGCGCCTATGGTAGGATACTTCCTCGTCCATGACCATCACGTAGCCGCACTAGGTCTGTTCGCATACGCCGGTATCACAGATCTTGTGGACGGCTACATCGCACGGCGATGGAATCTGCAGACAGTTGTCGGGACGATCATCGACCCGATGGCTGACAAACTGCTCATGACCATCGGAGTCAGCTGTCTCGCGGTGAATGGATCAATCCCAGGTACGTTGTGTCCACAAGGCACAAACTGACGACGAACCTTCGGCTCAATTGGCTAACAAACCCCAGTTTGGCTCGCTGTGATCATCCTAGGACGGGACGTCGGACTGGCCATTTCCGCCATCTACTATCGGTGGATATCCCTGCCACCTCCCAAAACCATGGCCCGGTATTGGGATTTCTCGCTCCCTTCGGCCGAAGTGAAGCCCACTACCGTGTCCAAGATCAATACGGCCCTGCAGCTGCTCCTAGTTGGTAGTGCAATTGCGCTTCCTGTACTTCCCGAGACGATCATCGACGCTTGGAGCTTGAGGGAAGCAATGACTGGATTCCAGTAAGTGGCCCATTTTAATCCCCAGTTATCGTTACCCTTGTCCCGTCACCGTTGTAAAAGAGTTGTGTGTGCACATAAGCGGGAAGAGGCCTATGTAAATCCGTTCTGGAGGTTGTCTGGTACATACGACCACAGGGTGTGGAAAACAGGGCTTCCCGTCCGCTCAGCCGTACTTAAGCCACACGCCGGGAGGTTAGTAGTTGGGTGGGTGACCACCAGCGAATCCCTTCTGTTGTATGTTTTTATTCTTTTTCCCTTTTTTTTTTTATTTTTATTTTTTTTTTCCCCTCCATTTCTTTTCGCTTCTGTTTTTCCTTTCGAAATATCGCAGAAGAACCTTGTGGTACTAACAATTATTCAAAAGATACCTCGTCGCCGCAACTACCCTCTGGTCCGGCCTGAGCTACGTCTTCTCCAGGGACGCTGTTAAAATCCTCTCCAAGGAAGAAGTGCAGAAGCGCATTGCCCGCGCCGCGGCGGGTAAGAAGCCTTGATTAACCCAACCCATAGTTGTCGCATCGTAGATGAAGTGTGTGAGAAGGTGTATGTATGCATGTATGTATATATATATAAATAGAGCATTGTCATTTGGTGTGTTGTTTCTTGTATTTTGCACAGTATGGTTGGTTGTAACGTTCAATATTGATGTTTGAGTTCATTCGGTAGAGCGTAGAGGGCAGTAGATATATATTCGGTTGCAGTTCCGAGTAGATCGGTACTATGATGAGAGTACAACTATCCCACATCAAACCGAACCTACTGATGGTGAAGATAGGATCTCTACTACAGCTTACGATGTTAATTCAATAACAATGAAAATTAGACTGTTACCAAACATCGGGTATACATAGGTAGTACAAAGATAGTCAATAGCTTATAAGAGTAATTTACGGTTGTAAATAGTTACTAGCAGTTATTGATAGGTTAACTGTAGTTATGTAAAATATCATCAGGTAATCAACGTGGCTACTAGGGGTATGTAAGTTGTTTCTTATTGTTTAATTATCATATCTCGTTTCTCAATTAGTATACAGTTGCAACAACAACCCATCACCTGATGTAAGGTTTCACGGGTCGGATACAGAATTCAGACTAACTTCGTTATATCACCACGAACCGTGTGATTGAATCGATCGCTCACTGAAGGAACAGACAAGAAGAGAGATGAATTGGTATATGCACGTATTCGAGATCCACAGAGAAAAGTATAATACACATAGGCCTCGAAAATAAGATATGAAAGGTATAATATACACAACAGGCCTCCAAGCCAACCATCTTTTCAGTTCTAAGATCCCAGAAATAACACCAATACGCCTGGTCCAGTCGACTCGATTCGCCCGTCGCTGTGATATGCAATAGTATAGTATAGTCGTCGTCCAACACCGTAATCAAACAAACACGTGATCATCTATCCGCCAGTTTCAAGGTGCCTGGCTGATAACATCATCAGGGGTCTCCTCAAGCCCCTCCGAAGCAGGAGGAGCAGAAGCAGCAGTCCTATCCCTACTGGTCCTATGCACATGCATGAGCACCCTCAGGACACCGGACGGAGTAACGCCCTCGATGCGCCTCGCCATGCCGATACTGACGGGACGGACGCGCTCCAGGGCCTGCTTTTCCTCGATGCTGATGCCCTGAACAGTAGCATAGTCCAAGTCAGCAGGGATAGACAGATTTTCGTCGCGAAGGGATTTCTTGGCTGCGTTTTCCTGGCGGATCACAAAGGGAGCGTAGCGGCCTTCAATGGAGACACGGTTACGGATCTCCGGAGGGAAAGAAGAGGCAGAGTAGACGGTGCCGGTGGGGGACTCGATATGTGGGATGAGGGAGTCAATATCGCTCTCACGGAGACAGAGGAGGTCGAGAGCGGAGCGTTGAGAGGGGTCGATGCGGGCCTTGAAGCCTTTGCGAGCCCAGGCGTAGGAGGACATTTTGGTGTTCTCGAGGAGGGTTTGAAGCTCGTTGATTTGCGCTTCCGTTTCCGTGAAGTGTCGCCAGCGTTTGTCGGAGACGATTCCGGCTTCGCGGGCCATCCGGGTGAGACGGAGGTCGGCGTTATCGGAGCGAGTGGTAATACGGTATTCGCTTCGCGTTGTGAACATGCGATAGGGCTCGGAGACGCCCTTTGTGATGAGGTCGTCGATCATGATGCCGATGAATGCGTCGGACCGACGGAGAGTGAGCGGTTCCCGACCTTGGGCGGATAATCCAGCGTTGGTACCAGCGATGATACCTTGTCCAGCGGCTTCTTCGTAGCCGGTGGTACCGTTGATCTGACCGGCAAGGTAGAGACCGCTGATGAGTTTAGTTTCGAGCGTGGGTCGGAGATTGCGCGGGTCGATGTAGTCGTACTCGACTCCGTAGCCGGGTTGAAGCATGGTCACGTTCTCGAGACCGTGGACCTTTCGCAGCATGGCGTACTGGGCATCAGCGGGAATGGTCATGGAGATGCCGTTAGGGTAGATGACGTCGTTTGGCGCGAAACCCTCTGGCTCGAGCCAGATCAGATGGCGCTTCTTATCGGTGAAGCGGATGATCTTGGACTCGAGCGAAGGACAGTATCTGGGGCCCCTGACGGTCTCGCGGATGTGAATAGTCTTGTCCAGGTTCGCTCGGACAATATCGTGAACGTCGTCATTAGTGTAGGTCATCCAGCAAGTGAGCTGGGCCTCATCGTCCACCTGAACCCCGCCGTTGAGATAGGAGAACGGACTCGGGGGGTGATCACCCTCCTGAACTTCCAGAGGCGCAAAGTTGATCGTCTTTCTATCCAACCGCGGAGGTGTGCCCGTCTTCAAACGACCCAACGTGAACCCGGCATCCCGCAAGGACTTACTGAGTCCGAAGGTAGCAGCTTCACCCATCCGACCAGACGGGTATGCTTCAAGTCCAATATGAATCTCCCCACCCAAGAACGTGCCCGTTGTGATAACCACCTTGCCAGTGGGTATAACCTCGCCAGACTCCAGCCTAACACCAACAATCTTGCCCTGCGCCCCGGGAGTATGCTCGACCCCATCCTTCGACACCACGATATCCGCAACCTTACCCTCGACGATGCTCAATCCTTCCGTCCCCTGCAACTCCTCCTGCATATACTTCTTATACAGATCGCGATCAATCTGAGCACGAGGACCCCAAACAGCTGGGCCTTTGGATCGGTTCAGCGTGCGAAACATAATACCGGCCTTATCGATGATTCGTCCCGCGACTCCATCCATCGCATCAACTTCTCGTATCATAGTACCCTTTCCGATTCCACCGAAACTCGGATTACACGAACAGACACCGATGTTGGATAGCGAGGGCGTGATTAATGCGGTTCGGGCGCCTGAACGAGCAGCCGCGGCACAGGCTTCGGAGCCAGCATGGCCTCCTCCAATGACCACCACATCGTATGCCCTGTGAACAAACAGAATTAGCACCTACCCACCAAAGAAAACCCCGTACAGGATGGAAAAACATACCGCGTCCCATCTGACACTGTCGCCAACCCACGTCTCCTACCAAGCACACTCAGCTGGGATGATCTCGGCTCCAACCCCCAACGAAGAAGGGCGACGGAGCGAGCCCGAAAAGCCATTGCAAACAGATGGCCTAAAGCGTTAAGGGGTGGAAAGGGGAAGGGAGAAGCTAGAAACTGATGCTTCCGCAACCGGACTTCACTACTAAACTAATCCGTAGATTAACCTTTTTGCCCCGGAAAAAAGAACTCATGTCCGCATCACGTGCAGACAAGCAAAAAGCTTAAATCCGGGCCAAACTCCGAAAGGCGGTGAGATGATGTGCTTTGCTGACGTAATGACGAAATGAGCCGAAGTTTTGCATTACAGCCAATCACACGAGGGGCTTATTTCACGGCCCCGCGCTGCTTTATTGGGTTTGGGTGGACTTATATTCGCCGTTGATCCTCGTTCTCGTTGTCATTCTTGTTGACTTGTGTGTGTTTCGTGTGCGTTTACATCTGTTAGAATTGTTGAAAATGAAGGCTTACTGGTACGATAACAAGCCGGTGAGTATCTATACAATCTATCCCGCTTAGCCTTTGCCCCCCCGCCTGCATGGCTTCATTACCCCTCAATTGGTTACCATAATGGCATACTAACATCTTATCACTATCAGGGCGATCAGCGCGAACCCCACGACGACGGTCGTCCCGTCGACGAAGCCTACCTCGCCTCCCTGGGTGTCTTCTACAAGTACTGCCCGAGCATCGAGGACGTCGACGCCCTGGCAGCCGAGCGCGGATACAAGAACCGCGATGAGGTCACCGTGTCCCCCAAGACCATGGGCGATGTGTACGAGGAGAAGGTGAAGATGTTCTTCCACGAACATCTCCACGAGGGCGAGGAAATCCGCTACATCCGGGATGGTGAGGGATACTTTGATGTCCGTGGCAAGGAGGACGAGTGGGTCCGCATTAAGTTGGTGAAGGATGATCTGATTATTCTCCCCGCGGGTATCTACCATCGCTTTACGACGGATGAGAAGAACGTAAGTACATGTGCACTGGGGATGTGGTGTTTTTGATGGGTGCTAACGGGTCTGATTTAGTATGTCAAGGCTATGCGTCTCTTCCAGGAGGAACCCAAGTGGACTCCCTTGAACCGTAGCAACGAACTGGATGAGAACCCGCACCGTGTGTCTTACCTCGGTAGTCTGGGTAAGGCTGCTGTTGCTGCTGTTTAAATAATCCTGGGGGTGGCAATGTAAAGCTTGATGTGATGACTATGTTATATACCATGGCAATGAAATTTTATGACAGCTATTACCCGTTCATGGATGGACTTTGTGTTTGTGTTGGTGCATATGACGACGCTCAATTCCCCTATTTACCTAACTCCGTTCGTTATGTAGGTCGGATACTTTTTCTTCAAGACTCGTAGTTATCTATGGTACACGTAACCAAAGGAAGGTAGCTGGCTCAGCGAGCAGCCGCGCCCGACAACGAGCCAGGCATTTGAAATTGTTCGCTAAGCGCACCTGAACTCTCTTCTCGGATCAAGCTGGGACTGCGCAAGTCCCCTGTCTCGACGTTGTAGCTGCTGGTGCGCGACACACTGTCGAATTGAGGCCGCGAGGCAAGTCCACCGCGGAACCGTAGTCCCTCGGGTTCTCGATCCCCTAAGTGGTGGTCACCAAGATCGGCGGACATGGCACTCCGAGATGCCGCGTTCGAGCCGGTTTCCGAGTCGTCACCGGTGCGGACACCCGTCCGTCCCATGCGCGGCCATAGATCGGGCAGCCCGACTACTTGCACTCGGGGCTCGACCACTCGCTCCTCGAACCACGCGTGCACACGAGCTTCCACTAGCTGAGCCACCTTAGGCACGTCTTGAAGCCTGCTCCGGGAGCCGATGAGGGATCGAACCGAGAGGTCCAGCCGGTAATCCGGAAGGAAGGAGAAAGCAACATTGCTCTTCGGGCTCCCGGTCTTCGGTGGAAGACCGTCGGCTTCCTCGTCGGCCGCACGTGCGTTGGCGTCCCCGGTTGTCTTGCCGCGTGGGTTCCCATCAGCGGTGGGAGGGGATGGGGATGGAGAGGGGGTGTGGAGGGGAGGGGTGGATGCGGGAACAAGAGAGATACATAATGTGCCCGAAAAACGAACAACAGAAACCGACAGTGCCACGGGAAGAATCGCCGAGCATGGCTTAGGATAGTTGAGCAGCAAGGAAGTTTCGATGGCGATCGACAAGTTGTCGTCGCTCAAGTCGACGTCCATCAAGGCCTGGAGTCTCCCACCATCGGAATTGGGGTCATCGACAGCAATGATACGGCAGTTGCTGAAGATGGGGAATTCCTCACCAAGCGAGATATCCGTGACGTTGATTTTGTCTATGAAAGACGGCTTTTTCTCGGGATTGTTGAGAGCCGCATTGAGCGAGCTGAGGATCGACGACGTCGGAGAGTCCTTCAACAAGTACGCTGTCTGTCTGTACTGAGCAATAGTCTGCGCGATCAACACATTGAACCAGTCAAGAGACTCCGGCTGATGCGACGAGTGATGAATCTTATGCCTGCCATGTTTCGAGGGATTTGTAGGAATGGCGCTGTAGTAGGTTTTGCGGAGGATTGAGCGGGTATTCGTCGAGGAAGAAGGCACCGGACGGAGAACATTCGAGTTCGACGGCTTCTCTCTCAATGAACGGTTATTATTTGCCTCATTGGGGTTGATTGTGTAGATAGAATTGGAACGCCGATGGGTAGACGCTCGATGTGAAAGGCCGCGGGAGGGCGGCGGAGGTGCTTCGCCGAAAATGAAGAACTTGATGAAAGCTCCGATCAACAGCACCACGGACAGCTGCCCAAGCAAGAATCCCTGAGTGAAAGATAGGCTAGACTAGTTAGTTAGCCCTCTATCGGAACAACCAAGGGGGATCAGGCCATTAGTGGCATACGAGGATTGAGCCGGAACGGGCACCGTTTCACCTGGTTCGTCACGGTCAGCTTCAGGCAGTCCTTAGCTGAGGGGGAATGGTTCGATCGCACTTTGTTGGAAAGACATTGTCCGCCACAGTTGACCTCAACTTCTGCCCATCGCCCATGGCCACCACTGCTGCGGGATTATATAGAAGGGGAGAATCACGGTGTCTTGGAGAAATGACGAAAGAACCGGAAAATGGCGAACGTCGAGGTTTCCGCTGCGGTGACGCTAAGCGGTGATCGATCCTCCACCGCGGGTCCGACACAACCCAGATCGGATGCAAGAACCGCCCCCCTCCCCAAGCTTGTTTTTTGGGGAGGACACGTTGGATTCTTGCACGTTGCAGGATTCATCTCTGATCTGGAGCTGCCTGGCTGAACAAACCGACATATTGTTCTAATACCACGTCGCCTTACCATTGCTTGTGTGCCGTCTAGACGCTGCATCATCGTCGGCAGCATGCTCATGCTCATGCTCACTCTCCACTGACGCACACCAAAACCATCATTCTACAAGAAACTTCCCACAATGTATACTCTACTCCTTATACAGCTCCTGATTTCCCTCCTCGTCTTCCCACACGCTGCTCTCTCCGACCGCCCCCCAGGCAAAGACGCCATCCTCCTCTCGCGCGTCCGTTCACTCACCCTCCGCGGAAATCGTCTCACCACTTCAAGACGAGTATCTCCAATCCCGCAGTTAAAATGCACCGGCCCGTCCAAGCGCATCTGCAATATGTACGAGATCGACACAATGCGATGCACAAACGAAGGCTACGACTACGATGAAGAAGACGTCCAGTGGACCTGCACTGCATCACTCCCACGAGAGTTCAAGCTCGGGGCTACGGACGTTATTTGTGAGGGATACCGGAATGCCGACGACAAGTGGATATTGAAAGGGAGTTGTGGAGTCGAGTATCGCCTACTGCTGACGGAAGCCGGGGAGGAGAAATTTGGACACTTGCGCAATGAGAGATCAAGCTCTTCAAATGATGAGCTTGGCCCCGTAGGCAAAGTGATCTTCTTTGGGTTTATGATCGCAGTTTTTGTGTTCATTTTGGCAGCGTTTTTCAATGAGTGTTGTGGGTCGGGGGCGAATCGGCCACAGCGACGACGACGTGGTGGTGGTGGTTACGGGGATGATGGGCCTCCGCCTCCGTACTCAGCCTCGCCGCCTCCTTATACTCCTTCTTCGGACCCTAATGAGCGCTGGAGACCCGGGTTTTGGACGGGTGCGTTGGGTGGTGGGGCGGCTGGTTATGCGCTGGGAAGAAGAAGCGCTGGGAATCGGTCTAGTTCGTCATCTACATGGAGCCGGTCCTCCTCGTCCAGAAGATATGATGACCCTGGCGAGGGTAGCTCAGGATCGCGCACTCCGCGCTTCTCCAGCACCGCCACAAGTACCGGGTTTGGCTCAACACGCCGCAGGTAATAGCTATAAAGGAGCAGAGACGCGAAACGGCAGTCGATGCCTTGGGGAGTATGCGGTAGCTATAAGCCTTTGATTCTTTCGATACTCTCGTTGTAATGACCGAGCACTAAGATACACGTAGACCAAATCGTCGGGAAATCCTCATTATGCCAGCCGCCACGGTGCAGCAAGCAAATAGAGTAAACAAACAGACATTCATCATCACCGGGGGACAAAAGAAAGACGAACAGGAACCCAAGTAAACTCCTGCGCCAGGCAGTACAACTGGTCTGGATTGCAACGCCAAAAACACCTGTATCCCCGCATGGTATTGAAATCGGCCGTAAAACTGAATTTATCGATCCTGTGTACTCAAGGTATATCATCAATGGTGCCCAAAACTTCTTCAGTGCCACCGGCCATGGCTTTCATGGCTTGTTTTCTGTTGTTCCGCTTCGCTTTGACAGGCACGTCGTTGCCCTGAGTGCCGTCGGCACCACCGGCCGCACCGTCTGGATTACGAAGCATCTCTTCCTGCGCTTCCTTCTCTTTGGCGTGCTGAGCCTCAATTCGCTTCCGCTCCTCGTCTAACTCCTGTTGGATTAACCTGGGGTCGTCGTAGACAGTGTTGGTCATCTCCGAGTAGGTACTGATGTCGATGGTCTCGCGCGGGCCCAGCAGTGTTTCTTTGATACGCTGGGGGTCACGACGTTCTTCGTTGTTGAACTTGAGCTTGATCTGGCGCCGGGAACGGCCCGGGAACAACTTGCTGATCATCATGAAATCTGTACCAAACATGCGCAAGCCCCGGTAGAAAAGGTCGGTCATTTCCTCGTCCCAGGACTCAGTCTTGGAGCGTTTTCCATATGTCGCCTGATTGATCTTCCGAGTAAACGAGTTTTCAATTACATCCTCAAGTTCCCCAGCATTCCTTGCGGCATCGGCATGGCGATCCACCTGCAATGAAGCAGTATCGAGCACAATCTCTCCGTTAACAATCCTCATCACTGGTCCAGCCTGGCCCTTGTTGTCTGGGTTCTCATCCCGGTCTTCCGCGGGAGACGCGTCGTTCCCGTTCTCTTTCACCGGTGCCTCGGTATCACCTTCCTGCTGCGCTTTTTGCTTACGCTCCTGTTCAGCCTGTTCCATGTTGCGCAGCTCAGTCTCTCGCTTGGACATTTTACCCGTGCGCAAATCCTTGCACAGCTCCGACATCTTGACCATTGCGGGGGCGATCTCGACGGATTCGGCGCCTTCGGGGGTCGGCTCGCGCTTCTTGCGTGTCCGAGGCTTTCTTTCCTTCTTCTTTGTCGCATTTTCCCCATTGACATCCTTCACTGATCTTCGTCTAGCCCTCGTTGTCTTTCGACCTTGTTCGGCAGTAGTAACCTGCGAGTCGGCTCTAGGGCGCGCATCTGCAGTTCCCTCGCTATCAGTAAGTGCCGCCTGCGTTGCTGGAGGAGTAACGAGTTGGGGGTTGGCGTCTAAATATGCAATGGATTCGGTTGTGCGCGTGATTGTAGCAGGAAGAGGAGGAGGAGCAGCAGCAGAAGGAGCGGAAACGGTGGTGACAGCATCGGTGGTGATGGTGGTGGATTCTCCAGTGGTCTTGGGACGTTTGGATGGACGAATCACTGTCGCGTCATTATCGGGGCGGGATATCTGTGTCTCGGGCGCAGCGGTCGGAGTATCACTCGCAGGAGCCTGTATCTGCTCGACTTGGGGTTCCGGTGCGGTAAGTGTAGGCGGGGTAGGTTCATGTTCTATGGTTCCCGGGGAGACTGCAGTCACCGAAGCCTTGCGCTTAGGGCGAGGGATTGGAATGGCTGTCGCAGACTGAGGTACAATGACATTTTCCTTGGGAGAAACTGTTGGCTCGTCCGGAACTGAAGGCTGAGTGGGAACGGAGGGTTGAACAGCGGGGGCTGGTGGACCTGGTTCGGGAGTTGCTGTCTCTGTCGGAGGTTGGGGAGTCTGAGAAGCAGATGGCTGGGAAGCTACACTGGGTCTTCTCGGGGGAGCGGGAGCTGGAGGACGGCGAGCGGGCGCCTTGGGGGCAAATTTCTTGCCCGACTTATCTGCAGAGGAGGCATGGTTAGCAGTTGAAGGTATATAAGGCGGGACGGGACACGGGAAGAGGGGAGACAAAGAACGTACTAATGGCCGAACTGGAAAAGGACTTCATTCTGCATGCCGGTCATCGCTGAAGCGAAAGGTAAGGGAGGGATGAAATGAGGAAGGGGGGAATATAGGGGGAAATGATGATGATGATGGAGAGATGGTGATTAGTTGGTGGTGGTAGAAGAAGGGACCGGGAGTAATAAACCAGCAAAAAGTCTAGATTGGCGGGCGAAAAGAGCTGAACCTGAACCTGAACTCCTGGGGAAAGTGGGCGCGGTCACGTGGGAGGCGCGAAGGGACGCTAAACTGGCAGGCCGAAAATCCTCCTGGCTTCTTCCTGCCTGGGAGACTTTGCTTATCTCAACTCATTCCCTCTCCATCCCCCTCTTCCACCTCGTCCTCGCTTCCCCCCTTCCACCCACCATTTCTTCCACCACAACCACCCCCCGTCACCTCTTTCACGGTCGGAGATTGTTACGGTCCCTGCTTTCGGCCCGTTGCTGCTCAGTGGTGACGGCCTCTTCTGACGTATGCCTCTTTAGCCACTGATGCCGGCCGCCGAAGCATCCCCCGTCGCATCTTCCGATTCCGGTTTTGTCATGATGGAAGACCGGAAGAGAGCCGCTGCCTACGACCATAATGATTCTGCTCCACCGTTGAAGAAGCAGGCGACTTCGGTCAATGGTGGTAGCAAACCCCATCCCGATGCTGATATGCCCTGGAAAGATGACCTGGAGGTAAGTCCCCGATCTGCCCACGTGGGTGCCAACTTATCCCAAGGGTTCCCCTAGACAGGATTGGAACGCCCAAAGTCGACTCTATCGCTGCCCTCCAGGTGACATACTGACCTCTTTTCGTCGCAGCGTTTCCAAAAAGACGCAATATGGCGCCAGATGCAGGAGTACAAACGTGAGAAGGTGTCGCTCGAGGCCAAGCTGAAGGAGATGTCCAAAGCCACCGCCTACCACAATGACCATCTCCGTATCATAGACACCTGGTACAAGCAAGTGAGTAGATCATTGTATTTTGCTCATCCCGTGCAGATTATCTGACAACCGACAGTTGGTCGACGAGGTCAAATTGCTCATGGGTGCTGCCGAAGAGGATGCCAAGGGTGGGTCCCACTCATGCCGGCCGACGGTTTACATGGAAACGCTAAACAAATTCCCAGAACACCCGGCTTTCCAAAGCAGCCTGCTGTTCGATGATGTCGATAAATTCGAGAAGCACTTAAAGTCCCGTTCGGAGGATATCCGCCAGGTCATCTCTAGCTTACTGTCCAAATCCCCCAGGACCACGCCCGAAGCTTCAGAGTTACAGACTCAGCTCGCCAAAAAGCTGGCTGAGGAGAAAGCCACCATCGCAGAATTAGAGAAAGCTCTTTCTGAAAAACAGCAACTCGAAGAAAGTTTAGAAGAAGCCTCTCTGCGGTACATGGTAGCCGAGAAGAAGCTCGATCGTGCACGGAGCTTGACGGTTGCCAAATTAGAGAAGCAGTACATTTTAGGAGCCCAACGCCCCGGCGGCGATAGTGCGTCTGCACCCAAGGAAGAGCCTTCCGCGTCCAACGGCGCGACCCCTAGCGGCGAGCGGAGTCCCGCTTTGGAAGAAGCCCACAGCAAACTCGTGGCCGTGTCTGAAAAGCAGAAGGAACAGCTTCAGAAATTGGAGAGTGAGAATGCAAAATTACTGACTCAAATAACGGATCTAAATATCAAGGTACGCCTACCCGGTTGGGCCAGCTAGACTCGCACAGTGCTAATGTGAGATGAGCAGCATTCACGACTTACGGACGATGACTACGCGCACACGGACTTGTTCAAGCAATTGAAATCCCAGTACGATGATGTTGTTACTCGAATCAACCATTTAGAAGCGACCAATGTGCAACTACGAGAAGAAGCGGCAAAATATCGATCGGAGCGAACCGCCTATCGCAACCAGGTTGATGAAGAGGCACAAAATGCGATCGCTGAGAAGGAGGCGCAATTAATGCGGGCGGAAACAGATTTGGCACGGATACGCAACGCGCGCGACGAACTTTTGGCGGACCAGCAAATGCGCAAGGCTGCGCAAGAGCAGGAGAAAACCGCGGCTACAAAGGTGCAAGAACTTGCAGATGCTGGACAGGCTCGGATTACGGCGCTAGAGTCCGAGGTTCAAAGGTTGCGTATGGAATTAGATAAGGAGAAGAGCACGTCAAAGAGCGTCGATGAGATCCCGATCGAAGAATTGCGTACTAAGTTCAGCAACCTGGAACGTCAGTTTTCGATGCTTAATACCGAACTATCCTCGATGCAGGTCGCCTGCAAGAAGTACTCGTCCTTGGCGTCACAGAAAGTTACCGATTTCAGCGCCTTGGAGGAGAAGGTCGCCCGACTTATCGCGGAGAAGTCCAAGGCCGATCAGAAGTATTTTGCTGCAATGAAGAGCAAGGAGGCCAGGGAACTGGAGGTTCGCACATTACGCATGCAAAATTCGAAGACTTCGGACATCGTGTCGCAGCTGAAGGAATCCGAGGCAGCTACCCGTTCTTTGCTTGCCAACATGGAAAAGCAGGTCAGCGAGACCAAGGAAGCGTTGAATCTGATGATGAACAAGAATTACGCCGCTCAGCAACAGGTCACGGAGAAGAACATCACAATCGAGGGCTTGAACCGGCAGGTGGCCGAACTCAAGGCGTTATCAGCTTCCAAGGATTCGACATTGGCTAGCGCCTCGAGTGCTTGTCGCCAAGCGGAAACAGAGGTAGAGGGCCTGAAGGTGACCCTGGCGGATACCAAGAAGAGCCTGGAGAACTGGAAGAATAAGAGCCTCGGGAACTCCTCGTCTGAATATGAAATGCTGAGGGTATGTTTATATTCTCTCTCCATTACCGTGGTTTTGCCATATCGGATCATTCTCGCTAACGTACCCTATAGACTCTGGCACTCTGCACTGTGTGTCGCCGCAACTTCAAGAACACGGCCATCAAGACCTGTGGTCACGTGTTCTGCAAAGAATGCGTGGAGGAGCGCCTCACATCTCGGTCCCGAAAGTGTCCCAACTGCAACAAGTCCTTCGGCAACAACGATT